ACTTCCTACCAAAAAAGTACATCATCAACAATTTTTAAGCTTATCATATAAAAAAAATTCATGTGTAATATTGGTTCATTTCATACATGTGTAATTATAGGAGACTCTGCCAAAGACAAAGCAAGGAAAAAGGATGTTAGGACCTAGAATCTTGTCCTGGGGGTGGGTGATGGGAAAAGTTAACTCAACCAGATCTTGCCAGCCCCTCCTCGGGTGGCAGTGCCTGTAAGGTAGGGAATAGTGGACAGTAAGTATTCAGAAAATGAAGGCAGACCAGGTCCTACAGGACACCAGGCTTTCTCCTAAAAGCTGACTTAGGGAAGAATTCCTAGAGGATATAATGACTAAATTGAATGAGTTAGAATTAAACTGGTGAATGTGGGAAGTTGAAGAGGGGAGTATATAACAGGGAAGAGAAAGAACAAAAAGGAGCATTTATGTCGTAAACAAAGATATGCAAATGAGAAATAGTGTGAAGTAAATGGGGAACAAGCTGCATGAGACACAGATGGTCAAGGTAGGAGACTAAACACAGGCAGGCGCCTAATCATGGAGATGACATGTTAAGGTAGTTGGACCTCGTCCTCCAAGACATGGAGAAGCAGTGGAGGACTTTATCAAATTTACATTTAAAAAAAAAAAATGGGGTACAGGTCAGATGTGCGGGAGGTGAGAGAATTCACCAGAGACAGAGTGGGGAACAGAACAGGCAGACTGAGTGAAACACACTGCTGAGGGGAGCAGTGGGCGAACAGGAGAGGTCTGCTGCGCCATGTGGGATTCTCGCTGGCCAGCCAGGATCAAACCCGCGCTACAGAGGCTGCAGACAGCTTCACAGTGCTGCGCTCAACCGCCTGTGCCACCAGGGGAGACCCTCAAATTTACGTTTTAGAAGGAACCCTCGGGTAGCAACGAGGAAGGTAGATTTAAGCAAGCACCATTTAGAAAGCTGTTGCTGAGTTTCAGGGAAGAACTGATGAGGAACTGAGTTAGGTAGTGGTGCTAGACACAGGAAAGGCTGATTTAAGAATGTTGTTGAGTAACATAGGCAAGAAATGGTAGCAGGACTGTTTAAATGTTGACAGTCAGTCAACAATATTCATTGAGAGTTTCCTGTGGTTGGGAGTGTATTGTCTAGAGTGTCATTTCTGGGATTCATCTACAATAAGTCAAGTCCACAGACAGCAGATGTGTTGCCAGAGGCATGGACAGATAACTCACACCAAGTCCCCAGGTAGATCCCTAGGTGGGCAGAACTGCAGTAGAATAGAACTGAAGTGCAGTCACAGCCTCCTTCCAGATCCATAGTCTGGTTTAAGATTGACAGGTGTGCCTCCCACCGGGCAGGCAGGCAGGCACTACTAGACCACAGTAGAGTGGGACCAGAGCCAACGTACGAGGCTACTTCAGGGTATGCAGCCAAGTCAATAGTCAACAGGCTGAGTGCCAGGGGTGCCAAGTGGCTTGTCTTTTCTTGGTTCCTGGGCAGTGAGGACTACCTCTGGGACCATGTTTGAGCAGGTAAGAGCCAGGTCATAGGGCTATTCAGGTCCACAGCCAGTGGCCTTGTGCCTGGGGCATACATGGATGTAGTTCTTGCAGATCTTTTAGTGGATGGGGCTAGAGCCAAGTGTACAGGAGTCAGGCTGCTTCCAGATCAGCAACCAGAACTAGAGTAGGTCTTGACTATGGGCCTGGTAGCAGCCATATGGCCCAGTTCCAGCCCTGCTTGACCACAATCCCCAAGTCAATTCCATCAGTCCAGAGACCTGGCAAGAGAAGGTCTTCACCTGCCAAAACCAGTCTGTAGTCTAGGGAAGGTCTCTGCTTTTTCAAATGCACATATATCATGCAAGACTGCACAGATCACCAAGAATTACATAAACATGATACCACTAAAGAAAACTCGATCCAGACTGAATCAAGACTATGGAAACAGACTATGGATCCTGTACTAACTGAGGTGCAGACCTGCCTTCTCAAGGCAGCCCTCTTCAGTCCTGGATTCTACCAGCTTGTTATGACCTCCTATTGAGAACCCAAGACTCCCCATAAAGCCACTTTTGTCTCTGTATGTCTGTCAGATATTTGTTTCTGTGGAGAATGAAGCCTGGGGACCTCTTATTCCACTATCTTGCTCTATAGGATAATTTCAAATGAGGGGGACAGGACTCTGGGATTCTAGAAGCACCTACCGCTATGTGAATAGCATTTGAATTCTGCAGATTCTTTTATTTGGCAATAAGTCCCAGGCTCTATCTAGTAGGATTTAGTTCTTCTGCATATAACAAAGTCAAAAATAAGCATTTTAAATAATAAGGTTTTAAAAGTTTAGAGGGAGACCATCCAGGGCCACATGGTTATTGGGACCCATCTTCCTGGTCAGTGTGTCACCACATGCTTTTCCTCAGAGCGGGCTTGTGGTCCAGGTCAGGTGATAGTTTTCAAGCAGACAAAGAAGGGTAAAAAGACATCATGTCAACTATCTATTTTCCACTGTGCCTTCCAGAAGTCACACCTTATAGCCTCCATTTATATATTACTGACTTATATTATAACACACTCCCAGTTGCATGGGAGAGTGAGAAAATGCTGTTTTTTAACTGGATAGATTGCCATTGTGAATAAAATCAGTGTTCTGTTTTTAAGGAAGAAAGGAGACTGGATAAGCAACTGGCAGGCTTTGTCATATGTGACTTAGACACACTAGTTTAGCTAACTAGTCAGTGGGTAGCCACCATGCTGGTAGGTCTCATAATAGGTGAAGGTCAGAGGTCTCAAAACCTCACGTAGAGACTGGGAGTACCAGGTGGAGGTGGTGAGTGATGGGTGAATATATGTCAAAGGACTAAAGTAGAAGATCCTTAGATATGTGTGTTCTCAGTGTTTGTATAGTATTTTAAGGCCTTAAGAATAAAATGAGGGCCTCCCCTGGTGGCGCAGGGGTTGAGCGCTGGACTGCGATGCTGCCTGCAGCCTCTGCAGCGCCGGTTCCATCCAAGGCCGCTGGCGAGGGTGCCACATGGCGTGCAGACCTCTCCTGCCGCCCGCTGCTCCCCTCAGCAGTGTATTTCGTCAGTCTGTCTGTTCTGTTCCCCGCTCTGGCTCTGGTGAATTCTCTCACCCTCCCGTGCTTCTGACTGTACCCAGTGCTTATATAAATAAATAAATCTTTAAAAAAAAAAAGTAAAATGAAAGGAAAGTCACTGATGAAGAACCTTGGTGGACATAACATTTTAATGTACAAAGGAAGAAGACTCTGAGAAGACATGGTTACAGAAGAAGAGACCAGAGTGTTTCAGGCATGTCTGAAGGAGTCAACTGAGGATAAAACAGAGCCCATGGATTTAGCAGTTAGTTGCTCAGTGGTGGGCAGTGTTAGTGGAGTAGTAGGGGATAGAAGCCTGGTGTGGGGAGTTGAAAAATAATGGAGAGGTAAGGAATTGGAAAATGTAGACATTTCTTTCAATTCCAGTTCTGCCCCTTCTAGCTGAGTGACCTTGGAGAGATCACTTCATTTTCCTTTATACTTACTGTTTGTAAAATGAAGCTGATAATACACGTAAAATATTTACAAGAACGAATGGTATGTAATAAGCACTTAATAAATGCTATCATTATTGTCATCATCATTAGTATTATTCTGAAAGGAAAGGGTGGTAGTGCGTTATAAATACAGAGTCCAGACAGGAGCTGGAAGGTTTATGTCAAACCAAATTAGCCTAAAGGAGAAAGAGAAATACCAGGTGGTGTCACCTATATGTGAAATATAGAGAAACCAAACAAAAGGGTCAAAGACAAACTTTGAAACCAACCCTTGAAAGCTGATCACAGAATTTAGGCATCCAGAGGCAGAGGGGAGGGTTGAGGATGGAGTAGGGAGGGAGCACAGTGGATTGTGGTGGGGGAACTGCGGGTGCTTTGGTGGCTGTGCTGTAGTGACTACATGTGAAGGGGACGTCCCTGTACCTCCAAAACACTAACAACAATGTAAGCCAACCAGGAGCCTTCCTGGTGGCGCAAAGGGTTAAGAAGTAGTCCACAGCCACTGTGGCATGAGTTCAATCCCCGGCCAGGGAGGTGACCCACATGGCACAGCAGACCTCTCCTGACTCGCCCACTGCTCCCCTCAGCAGTGTATTTCAGTCAGTCTGCCTGTTCTGTTCCCTACTCTGTCTCTGGTGAGTCCTCTCAAACCGCCCCCCCGCCCCCCGCCCACATACACACCTCTGGCCTGCATTCCAGTTCTTGTATGCATAAATAAATAAAGATAAATCTTAGAATAAATAAATACATATATGCATTAATTTTAAGTAGGCCTGTTTTGACTATTAGTTGTGCTACCTCCTTACTTAAATGACTTTTAGTCACCGGTGCTTATTCTTCTCCATAAAGCAAGAATAATGCCAGCTACCTCCTAGGGTTGTTAGGAGATTAAATAGCACATGGTAAAAAAAATAAATAAATAAATAAATAAAAATAAAAATAAATAGCACATGGTAAGCTGTCAGTAGATGGTAGCTGCTGTTACTGTTAAGACTGGTATAGGAATAAAACTGTGACAGTTCACTTTAGAATAAGTATTTGTTTATATTTCTGTCCCTTATACAAACTGTAATCTATAAATCCTCCCACGTTAGGAAAATTGTCATTCTTATTTCATATGTTAAACACCTAGCACATATTCAAACCACCTAAAATAAATGTGTATTGTGTGTTGTTGAATGAATGATAGTGAAGCCTCAATTTATATTGCTAGAACTGATATGTCAATTCATTTTTTCACCATTTCCTGCACATAATTAAAACCTTTCAAAGATTTTCAGATGACATTGCTAGGAATTTTTTTTCTTTCTATTTCACTGTTTACAAATACTGGCCTTCAGTATATCACATCTGCATTGTAGACTTGAGTAAAAGAGTGCTTTTTTAACATGTCATCAATAAGTTAATTAACTGGTTCTTTTTTTTTTTTTTTTTTTCCCCTCTTTATCTTGCAGGGAGGTGGTGCAAGCAAATTGCGTTCACTGGAAAAAGAAGTTCTCATTTATGTGCAAAATGAGTGCAAGTGCTGCGACTGGCATCCTAGATCCTTGTATCTACAGGGTATCTGTGAGGAAGGTACAAAAATAACTTATTCCTTCTCCACTTTCAGAAACCATAATTAGTCCCATAGTCACCAACTAACTTTATTTAGCTCCACTTTATTGTTAGAACTGTTGTTTCACTTCACACTCACAGTAATAATTTAAATTGCTATGGCAAATATGATGATGAATCTGAAGTTAAAAAGTAAAATATTATTTGAGAACATTGGTCTATCATCTCTTACTACTATTGCACACATAAGTGTTAACTTTATTTATATTACTTTGGGAGGCATATATGTCTGTATCCTACCACTCATTAAATTCCTCTCTGTCAGCATTGTCTTAGGGACTTTACAGGTATTATCCAATAATACCTCTGCAAATAGTTGTGATTTTTTTTTCCATTTTCAAGAAAACTGAGGCTTAAGGAGATGATTACTTGCCCATAATCACATAGATTATAAACAGTGTATTAAGTAGAGTCTCACACACATGTCCTTCTGATTCCAAGTATGTTTTATTTTTATGTTTTCCTTTCCACATGTTAGGTTGGGCATTACTTAATTTGGACCATCTGAGAACAACCAGAAAAGCAAAGCAAAATTAAAAATAGCTGGTTAAAGGCATCAGAAGCTGCAAAGCAATAAGGATTGAGAGACCTAGAATCATAAGCAAGGCAAGCGTAAACAAAGGAGCCTTTCATTTGGAATTGCTTTTACTTTCTTTTTTTTTTAAAGATTTATTTATGCATACAAGAGTTGGGGTACAGGCCAGAGATGGGGGGGGTGAGAGGATTCACCAGAGACAGAGTGGGGGACAGAACAGGCAGATTGACCGAAGTACACTGCTGAGGGGAGCAGCAGGCGAGTCAGGGGAGGTCTGCTGCGCCATGTGGATTTCTCCCTGGCTGGCAGGGGATCGAACTCATTCTGCAGAGGCTGCAGATTGCTTCATAGTGCGGTGCTTAACCCCTTACGCCACCAGAGAGGCCCTGCTTTTACTTTCAAAGCATTTGCTAATTTGCAAACAGCGATATCGTAGCTGAGCTAAAGCAATAACTGACAGGCTAAAAAGATGAGCTGAGATTCCAGCAATTTTATAGGACTAAAGAAACAAAAATGAGTCCATTGCCCACCAGCAGGACCTCTGAGAGGGCAAGTGGTAGAAGGAGAGAAGAGCAGATACAGATCAACCCTTGTAAAGACTGAAACTCAGTTTCCAGTCAGCTTAGTTCCTATTTGGTTGGTGATCTGCCCCTGCCTTACTACCTGCCAGAAGCAAACGTACGTATTCTCTGATGGGAAGTAACATTATTCTAAGCCTCAAATTATTTCTTCAGGTTATGCACAGAACCACCAAGCATACCAAGAGACACAACTGCATGAGCGAAATCCCAAAGGAAATGGACAATAGACTGGGAAAAATATAAATTTGAGGAAACTCAGGAATAAACTTCCACAATAACTATAATTAGTGAACAATATGGAGACTTTCAGCAGAGAACTAGACGCTACAAAAATATAGATTAAATTGAATTCTAGAACTGAAAAATACAGTAAGTAAATTTTGTAGCTAAAGAGATGAGGAAAAAATCTTACACATTGACTTAGTAGCAGGTTTACCACAACTGAAGAGAATTCTAAAGAGCACGAAGATAAAGGGAAATAATGCACATTAAATCATAGAAGGAAAAAGGGTGAAATATGCAGAAAACAGTGCAAGGAGTAGGAAACAGTGTAAAGATCTAACATGTATAATTGGAGGAGAGAATCATGTCAAACAGATGAAAATATAAGACCACAGATTCAGAGCCTCCCCCATGGCGCAGCGGTTGAGCGCTGGGTGGCAAAGCTGCCCGCAGCCTCTGCAGCTCCGGTTCTATCCCCGGCCACCGGGCAAGGGTCCCACATGGCACAGCAGACCTCTCCTGCCGCCCACTGCTCCCCTCAGCAGTGTACTTCGTCAGTCTGCCTGTTCTGCTCTCCGCTCTGGCTCTGGTGAATTCTCTCACTCTCCTGTGCTTCTGACTGTACCCAGTGCTTGTATAAATAAATAAATAAATCTTTAAAAAAAAAAAAAAAAATCACAGATTCAAAAATACTGTGAACCCCATTTAATATGAGCAACAAACCTCACATGTTTAAACAGCAGAAGACTGGGGGGCTGGAACATGGAAAACGTGGAGAGGAAAAGTTCTAGATGATAAGAGTTGAGGCACTAAATTAGGGAGGGCCTTGTAGGATATGGTAATGGGTTTAGATTTTATTCTAATTATAATTGGAATCCATTTGAGTATTTAGTAAGGAGAGACATGATCTTGTAAGATCACCTTTGCTGCTGTGTAGATGATGAACTGTAGAGAAGTGGTTGGGATAACTCAGGTGAGAAATACTTAGGTTTTGCATGGAGTTAAGACCATGCAGATGGTATGGTTTAGGATGTATTTTGGATTCCCCCCTCCCCAAAATGGACTGGATGTGGTGAATTGGAGGAACGGAATTGAGGCTAACTAACTCTTGGACCTTCTACCAGAGCATATGGGTAGATGATTGTGTTATTTATTAAAATGGTAAAGACTCATAGTTACACAGTTTGGGGGGCAGATAAGCGGTAGGCTTATTTTGTCATGTTTTAGTTTGAGTTATCTGAGAGATGGCGAGATGTAAATACAAGATGGCAAGTATTTAAAAATACTTGTCTGAAAAGCAGAAGACAAGGTCAGACTAGAGAGAGAGAGTTTTGGAGTCATCAGCATATGATTTTTTTATTTAAAGCAAGAGACCCTAAACCAAATCCTAATACCTAGAGGGTACTATAAATTACTACTAAAAAATTAAATATTACTAAATAAATACTATTAAATAAATTACTACTAAATAACAAGAAAGGACAAGAATTCTACATATCACTTCTTGTATGTGTGGCCAGTTCTTAGTCACACTGCCATTGCACAAAAGGAAGACGGAAAATGTATCTGTTACTTTATTTGGGGCAGCCGGGTACCCCAACTAAAAATGGAAAATTCTGTTACTTTGGAAAGGGGGAGAATAGGTAACTAGGGTACAACTGGTATTCTTTCTATAGAGATTGAATGAAAGAGTAAGTCCAGAAAAGGAGAGTGAGGGGGATCAGCCAGTGGGACAGGAATAAAGCCAGGCAGTTTGGCACCATGGAAGTTTAGAGAAGAAAATGACATAAGAAAGGAGGTGGGCTGGCCAAGTCTGTCAAATTCTGTCAAGAGATGAAGATAGAGTCTATGGCTTTATCAAAAATGGAAACCACTGGTGACATAAGAGCTGCCCTGGAAGGCAGATGAGTGCAAAAGCCCAACCAGTAAAGGGGAGAAATATATATTAATATGTGTATTATAATTTTCATATTAATATGTTGTTAATGTTACATATTAATATTATGTTATATTATAACTTTTTACAGAGTATTATGCTTAACTTAATGAGTAAGTTAACCTTTCTTTGGTGATTCAGTTTCTTGAAGTGAGTCCAGGATACTTTTTTGCAATTTCTCTTTAGCAAATAAATACTTGTCTTCTCACCATATGTCTCTTTCAGATTTAAGTTGATTCTAAATAAAATCCAGGGGGAGGGGCATCCAATTAGTTGGATTTAAGATCATCAGAATTTTACTGTCTATGATATTTAAAACCAGCATGTGAAGATTACTTCAGAATTATCTGACATATAGTTAATTTTAAATCTTTAATCATATGATGCCCTTATACTGTTTTTTATCTTTGACAGGAATTAAAAGGTGGAAAAGCTTATGCCAAGGTAAAAAGATGTTCTTTAACTCTTTGGAAATTTGTGTTATCACTCATTGCTATTTATAAGCTTAAAAAATAAATGGTTTGCTTTTCTAGTTGCTGTTTAAGCTTGCCTGTTTTTAAATAAAGCACCTTGGAAATTGAAGAGTTGGATCCAACAATACATTACAGGCCAACTCTTTCTAAACTACTGATTATGGGATGTCACTCTTAAGTTTTAGCTTCCCTACTTAAAGATGATCTCTGGTTTGTGTTGACCATAGAAACTGCCAATTCAAACAACCCTCGAGAAAATATTTCCAATCCTACTTCCCAGTGGAATGGAACCTGTGCTCTTTTTGCGCTGTGTGTATGCTCTGCTGCCCTTTGCATATTAGCTATATGTAGCGGTGTGGTTGATGTGCAGCTAGCTAATGGTAGAGGGCTTGGTAGAGAGCATTCACAATACTACCAAAAACACTTCTTTTCTTTCCAGCCTCTGTGATGGTTGCAATGATACTCCATCAGTCCAGTCACATAAGCCACAGACTAGGGCACTGGTTTCAGCCATCAAATCTACCTAACTCCCTAAACTAGTTGGTTGCAATGTCTTTAGAATACTTTTTACTACAAGTAACAGAATACCCTCTTCATCTAGAGAATTTTTTTAATCTTATAAAACAAGTAGATTTGAGACAGAACTGTTCCAGGATTGGCAAATCCACTGACTAAAGAACATGATCAGTGACCCAAGTTACTTTTCTCTTTCCATTCTCCCATTCTCTACGTGACAGCTCTGTCCTAGGCTCACTCTCCTGGGCCACTAGATCTGGCTGCTCAAGTTTTAGTCCCTACATTCATATGTGAGAGAATCCAGCTGCCTCTCCATTATGACATTTTTTGAGCGAGAAAACTTCCTATACTTTGTACTCTGCCTCTGTCGTCTTCCTCGCCTTCGTGTGGCTTATCCTCGGCATGATCGTTCTAAAATTCAAACGCTCTTACTCTCCCACTTCTAGTCTATTACCTATAAAGAAAAACGAAGTGTTTAATCTAGCATGTAAGATCTGTGTTGGTTTGCAAATTATCTCATATACTTCTCTCCCAGCTCCCACCAACTGCCCCCTTCTCTAATCCCTGTGCCACAGACACACTGCCCTCATCTACTTCCTGAAGTGGCCCAGGCTATTTTAGCCTCCCTGCCTTGTGACTTGATGTTTTCTTTCCATGCATGTGCTTTTCCCTACTCTGGTCCTTTCAACTCCTGTATCATTAAAGACTCAGCTTAGTCATCCTTCCCCAATGAGAGATTTTCTTTCCCTCTTTCTTGTCATTGTGCCTTCTTTACTGTAGCACAGAGCATACTTTTCTATAGGAATTTGTTTTCTGCCCTCCCTTATAAACTATGAGTTCCTGAGAATACAATTGATTTACATTCCCAGTGCCTGACATCATCTGGAATATAGATGTTCTTTGCCAAATGAAATAATATCTACCTTAGAGATGCCTAGCGTTGATGTATATGTGGCATTTTGATGAGAAGGTTGTCTCAGTAAAGCCAAAGAGAAAATCATAAGGACAGTGGACTCTCTGGTACTTTGCTAAACTATAAGCTCTTTGAAGACTGTCCTTATCTGTTCTGAACATTCATCACTGTTTTCCAGTGTCAAGAACAGAGGCTGGCACAAAACTGGTGCTCAGTAAGTTGACTGCATTCATTGGTTACCTTCAGCCTAAACATCAGGTTGATATGCCCTACCTTTCAGTATGCTCTCTTAAGAGGAGCTGATCAGATTCTTAATTGTTTGGTGTTTGTTTTATTTTTTACTTGTATATGTTTAGTGATACTGGCATACCAGCATGCCAACAGTGAATGGTAAGCCAGTGGGCTGTTTTTTACTCAGCCAGTATGTATTAACTGCCTACCATGTGCCAGGCACTTTTCCTGGCACTATTCTAAGTACTAGAGATACAGCAGTGAACAAAACAGAAAATAAATCCCACGTCTGTAGACTTAACCTTCAGATGGAAGGTTGCAGAGACAGGTTGTACAGATAAATATGAAATTGTGTGTACATGATGTGTTAATCACTGCTGAAGAGAAAAATAATACCAATGAGGGTAGGGGGTAGCAACTGTAGGGGGCAGAGAGGGCAGGGAGGAGACTGGGCCTGCTTTAGGATGGTCAACGAAGGCTCCTTAGAGAAATGACATTTGACCATAGAGCTGAATGGAGTGAGAAAGCCACAAGAAGATCTAAAAGAGAACAGCTCAGGCAGAAGAACAGCAGGTACCAGAAGACTTTGATAGGGTCTTAGCATTTTCAAAGATAAGTTCATGTGACCAGACAAAGAAGGATGAGACGGCAAAATGAATTTAATGAAGGTAGCCAGGGCAGAAGGATCAGAGACATCGGATGCTGATAATGTTTTCAAGAGTTTCACTATAAAAGGGAACAGGAAAATGGTCTAGTAGACTGGAAGGAGATCTAGGGTGAGGTTTTGTTTGATTCTACTGTTCATTAAGATGAGAGAAATTTCAGCATGTTTGGGCGCTAATGGGAGTAGTGACCCAGTAGAGAAGATAAATTCTAGAATGCATAAGAGAGGGAAGAATTTAAAAAAAAAAAGAGAGAGAGAGAGAGAGAGAGAGAGGGAAGAATTCCTGAGACAATGAACCTGAGTAGGAGAAGAGCAGTTGACCTTGGGAGCAAAGCCAGTTCCCGTACAGTCAGTGGGCAGAAAAGCGTGTGGACACAGGTACAGGTAGGTGAATGGATGTGGTTGGCCATAAGAGCTTGCAGAAGTTAAGTGCTCTCTTGATTGCTTTTATGTTCTGAGTGAAATGGGAAGCAAGGGATCAGCAGACAGTGCTAATGGAAAGGAGGTGTTGGAGCTTTGACAGGAAAGGATAAGGTATGAGATAGGGTATGTGGATAATGTCTGGTCAAATAGCCACACAAGTTGCCACATGCTCAGTTAGATGTAGCTTTACCCTGGACATAGCCAGGCCTTTCTGCACATCTGTTGGTTCCCTAAAAAGGCAGTAAAACCAGAGTAACTGTATGAAAATTCTATCAGTGTTACCTGTGACTTGTACTTTTGACTTAATGCATTTGGGATTTGTGACCCTTCATTGGTCACTAAGATTTTATCCTTCATTTTTTTTCTTACCAGTTAAAAACTGCTAAAATAATTCTCCAGCCTACAATTAAAATCTTCATTCTTGATGTCATTCATATGTACCCACTGTGTGTTTTAAAGCCTTAAAGCAGTCAACATAAAATCACAGCAGTGGGCCTCCCCAGTGGCGCAGCAGTTGAGCGCTGGGTTGCGAAGCTGCCCGCAGCCTCTGCAGCGCCAGTTCGATCCCCGGCTGCTCCCCGGCCACCAGAGGAGGGTCCCACATGGTGCGCAGACCTCTCCTGCTGCCCGCTGCTCCCCTCAGCAGTGTGCTTCGGTCCTTCTGCCTGCTCTGCTCCCCGCTCTGGCTCTCGTGAATTCTCTCACCCTCCCGCACTTCTGACTGTACCCAGTGCTTGTATAAATAAATAAATAAGTCTTTAAAAAAGAAAAAAAATCACAGCAGTGTTTGAAATGCATAGTGTTTTTTACTATGTATTCAGGGAGACAGATTTTTGTTGTTAAAGATTTTATATTGTTCAGCAAATAATGGTGTAATCAGTTTGATGTGTTCCATTTGGAAATGAGAAAGTGTTAGCAACATCAGAGGTAAGACGATAGAGTCATCTTTGGTAGCTTCAGAAAACAGGGACTAAATCTAGGTACTAATAAGGGAGAGAAATATGTTTGAACTTAATTTCTGAGTAGCTGCAGAGAGACTTGATATGGGACACAGATTTGGTGAAGGGAGGAAGAGGTTTCCTATGTAAAGATTCAGGGTGATCAGCAAGGCATATGTTGTGGAAAGTGAAGAAGGAGGGCTTGTGCCAAGAAAGTATGCAGCACACTTAAATCACTCTATTTCTGTCACGGAGAGAGAGACCTTAATAAAGTGCAGCTATCTGCAGTCACCCCTGGTTAGCTGAAAACAGAGCCAGAACCAGAACAGGGAGAGACGCATCTGACCAGTTGTTTGCATGTGTGTGCAGGTGATCATGACTGGTCTGCAGGTATTTCCCAGAGTGTGGTATGAGTACCGCTGCCACTTGCAATGATTTTTCTTGTGTGATATGCATTATTTTAACCTTGCCGTTTATTTTGCATATTTTAATGTACACCGAAAAGATTAGTTTAATGTATACAGAAAAATGCATTCAGCACTTGAATATGTAATTTCAAAGATCGTATTATTTAAAAGTAGGATAGGGGATAAAATCACAAAAAATGAGCCAATTTAAAGACACATATGAAGCAAATAGTGCAACAGGTATTATTAAGATGGTAAAAGTTGCAAATGCAGCTTGAGAAAACCTGTCTAGGACGTGGGTTGAATGTTTATTTTAAGGAAAATATTGTGAAAGCCTAGTAGATAGTCTATTAATATAATTCTCTTTCTTTTCATAGCTGGGCTTTGCAGATCTAAACCTGGCAGAGTTTGCTGGATCAAGAAATACCACTCGTCGCTGTTTACTGGAAGGCTATGATACCAAAAATACAAGACAGGATAATTCCATTCTTAAAGTAAGCACGTTTCAAGATTTACATGTCAACAAATGAGATTCTCTGTCTTTAAATAAGTACAGGTGTATACTGTCAAGGGCATGATGGGAATCAGTACTGATATCATAATGAAATACCGCATGGGGAGCAAAGACCACCCAGAGCTCAAGACTGAAAAGTAACGTGTTCACTTTCATGGTTCTCAAGTGTTTCTCTCTGTGGCTGTGAGTATTTGGAGAAGAATACACACAACCACTAGAGCAGAAGGGCTCTGTGGGAGAGGGACCATGATGAATGTATACCTGAGGATGTTTATAGCTTCTAGAAGGTGACTTCCAAAGCAGCTGTGGTGGACACATAGAAGTCACTTGGTTCTCTTATACCTAGTAAAGTAGGGCAGATTCCAGGTACCATCAAGTACTTCAAATTCTGGTGACCACAAGAGAATATATGCATAAGAGAGTTGGCAGGAGCATTAAGTATGAACAGTTGAAAATATGGTTTTAAAATGCTTTGTACCTAGTAAAACTCACTGGATAAACCCTTTGCTCTATTTAGGTGGGTTACTCATGATGGTAAGTTATCTAATAAGAAGAAAGGAAAATAATTCTGATTAAAACCTGGGTGGTCAGAAATTAATGGAGCAAAGAAATATTATATACCTACAGTTTTCAATCCTCGTTTTTTCTAAATATTTAACTCTGAAGATTTGAAAAGATACAGAGGGCTATTGTAGCCAGTCTAGTCCTTGCAAAAATTTAGTAGTTTTAAAAATAAGGAGTTATGTGTAGTTAGGATCGGGAGGAAAGTGGTAAAAGAAGGTAAAGAGGAAATAAGCAAAATAAGACATACAAATGGCCAACAGGTCATGAAAAGGTGCTCAACATTAGTAATCCTCAGGGAAATTAAAACCACAATGAGATGTCACCTCCCACCTGGGATGGCTGTTATCAGAAAGAAGAGCATTAACAGGTGTCGGCAAGGATGTAGAAATAAAGGAACACTTGTACACTGTAGGTGGGAAAATAAATTGGTGGAACCACTATGGAAAATAACATGTATGTTCCTCAAAAACTTAAAAATAAAACCACCACATGATCCAGCAGTTCTCCTTCTGGGTATTTTCCCTATGAAAATGAAAACACAAACTCAAAAATCGTATCTGCAACCCCATGTTCATTGCAGCATTATTTACTACTTACAGTAGCCAAGATGTGGAAGCAATCAAGTGTCCATCAATAATGATGGGGGGTGTGAGAGAGAGAGAGAGAGAGAGAGAGAGGTTATTCAGCCATTAAAAAGAATGCTAAGTGAAATAAGGCAGCTAAAAAAGACAGAAAGATAAATACTATATGATCTCACTTATATGTGGAATCCAAAAAACAACAAAACCCTGAACTTATAGATACAGAAAACAGATTGGTCGTGGTTTGAGGGGTTCAGAGGGGGAGCAGAGATAGGTGAAGGTCGTCAAAGGGTGCAAGCTTCCTATTATAAAGTAAATCTGGGTAATGTTGATTATAGTTAGTAATACCATATTACATATCTGAAAATTGCTAAGGGTAGATCATGAAAGTTGTCGTCACAAGGAAAAAAATTATAACTGTGGAGGTGGATGTTAAGTAGGCTGTTGTAGCATTGTTTTATACTGTATACAGATGTCAAGTCATTTGTGTTACACATCTGAAACTAATGTTATATGCCAGTTATATCTCAACTAAAAATTCTGTGTTCGTCTTATATGTGTATTCATGTATATATTTACTTCTGTCCATATTCTGCACAGAAAACTAAAAAAATGATTTCAGTTTTTTGGTTATCTGTATAACTGAAAAATTTTCAGAGCACTTGAATATAGCTCTGTGAGATATACACAGTTGGTTAGATGGGGATAGATTGTCCCTTTTTTGTAGATGAAGATGCTGAGACTAAAGCTTGCATGTCTCACTAAAATACTCAGCTAAGAACAGAATGCAGTTCTCCTGTCTCCCAGCAAGTGGTCTCTCATGTTAGCTGTTGTCTAATAGACACTAGACTCACAAGAACAGGCTACACTGTTCATTTTTAAAACCATCCTGAATAAGCCACAAAATTCAGTTTATTTTTCTTTCTTTTTTTTTAAGATTTATTTTATTTATACAAGAACTGGGGTACAGGCCAGATACACGGGAGGGTGAGAGGATTCACCAGAGACAGAGCGGGGAACAGAACAGACAGACCAACGAAAAAACACTGCTAAGGGGAGCAGTGGGCAAGACAGGAAAGGTCTGTTGCATCGTGTGGGTTGCTCTGAGGCCAGCGGGGATCGAACTGGCACTGCAGAGGCTGTGGACGGCTCCTCAGCGCTGCACTCAACCGCCTGCACCACCAGGGGGGCCCAGTTTATTTTTCTTATATAAAATGGATAATCCTTTTCTGAGTTACGATGTTTTCTTTGAAAATTGAAATAACTGTTAAATTTCAGACCACCCCATCCCTCAGGATCGACTCATCCATAGTTTCCTTCTGGCTCCCCATTGATTCTTCCACAGTTTCTCCCACTCTGCCCTGTAGAAATCAGACCTTTTGTGGATCATGCCATTCAGCTCTCACACCTTCCTTTCCTCCTCTCAGTCATCACCATCTCTCTCCTACTCAGTGATGACTTGGCTTCTGGCTTACAGTTTTGCTCTCTATCCTTTCTATCATCATTTTTTTTTTTGTGACTTCACTGTCTCCGTGGGTGAGCTAACCTTGTGAACTGTCTGTTCCACTGTTCTCCCCCGCTGCGAATCCATATATGCCCAAGGCCTCTCAACCTCCTATTATTCCTCTCTCCTACCACTGTCTTTTATGTTTCTAATCCTCTTTATTTTGTCAGTACTACTCACATAGCTGTCTTTAACCTTACCACTGCCTCAATCTCTGTCAGCCTCTGCTTTTCACTTCCCTCCATAACCAGCTTAGATTGTGTGGTTAAATGGGGATCGATTGTCCCTGTGTTATGGATGAAGAAGCTGAGACGCAGAAGCTAGCGTGTCTCACTGAAATAATCAGCTAAGAACAGAATGCAGTTCCCCTGTCTCCCAGCGAGTGGTCTCTCATGTTACCTGTTGTCTAATACACACTAGACTCACAAGAACATATCCTTTAAAATACTCCCTGTGCCTTTGTCTCCTCCATTTCTCTCCCTTAATAGCCCCCAACCTTAATCAGACTCAGTTGCCCTCTCTGGGTTTGCATCCGAGATGCCAGACATTGCGGGAGGCCACAGCCGGTCTGGCTGCCATGACACAATCGTTCTGTCACCAAGCCCTTTGCTCCCCTTCCTTTGTAAGCTTCTTTCTCAGTGTCCTAGATATTCTGTTTCATGCCTTCTTTCTCCTCATATCTCCACACACCATTCTTTGCTCCCTGCTCATGATTTTGGTTTACCCCTTATTGAGAAAATAGAATCCATTAAACTCAAATTCCCTCATCTTCCCATCACAGAATTTACAATTCTTCTGTCTCTCCAATCCTTATTATTGCTCTTTGTCTCCTGTTAAAATAAGTGAAGTATCCCTCTTCCTGTCACAAGTCAACCTTTCTTAGGTTCTAGAATCTAAAACTTGCCTAATCAAGAATTTTACACATTGGGTTATCCCTTCTCCAAATTATCTCCCCCTCTAATGAACTATCCTCATCAACATATAAATGAACAGCTCTAGTATCTCCTATATTAAAGGGAAAAAAAAAAACTTCTTCTCCAACGACTCCCTCACTTTGCTCTACTTACCTACATAGTACTTAAAACTATAAGTGGCATCTCCAGTTTCTTCCTGATAATATCCAGGATATTCAAGAGTTCCATTTTGATGTAGTTGGAAACCAGAATGTAGAGTTCTATGTAAGAAGAGGTGAAACCAGCCCAATAGGTATAAATCAAGCATTTGATAAGTTTAACATTTGAAGGGGGAAAAAAGAAGAAAAGAATGGTAGTGAAGGTACTAGGAAGTGTGTGTGTGTATACATGTCAGCCATTAGGTAGAAAACACATCGTTTTATATATGGACATATGTCCTGTTGTTTATTAAGACCATGAGTTTTAGTATATTCTGCATCACTAAATAACATTTTAGTTGATGATGGACTGTGTATTCAGGGGTGGCCCAAAAGGATGCACCACACAGCTAAGGTGTGCAGTGAGTAGTGCCATTTAGGTTTGTGTGATTACTCTCTGTGACATTCACACAATGATGAAATCACCCACCAAAGCATTTCTCAGACTATGTCCCCATCATTAAGCAAGTTATGGCTGTATTATACAGTCCTGGGTTCAGATCTTAGCTTTGCCCTTTACTAGTCATCTGATCTTGAAAATACCAGCTAATCTCCTGGGCTTAAAATGAAAGTATTAATCTCCCAGGGGACTTTTAAAGATTAAATGAAATAATGCATATAAAACACTTAGTGTGCACATGGCACATAATAAATTCTCAAATCATGAGTAATGTTGTTACTTTTAAAATTATTATTCCCACTGTCATTATTTCCAGATGAACATAGTGAGATCTGATGATTGATTCTTAAAGAGTAGCAACTGGAGAACAATAGCATTTCAGAAAGCATTAGCGAAGCTTTAAATGCTGATCTAAAGCTGGAGCAAAGGCCGGAAGTATTCTACATTTAGAAGCTACCAGCAGACACCCCTTGAAGCTTCAACATGGCAGATTGGGAGGAAAGTTTCCAGACACTTAAGCACCACAGGAATCTGGGAGGAAAGACACACTCGCCCAGCATAGCCACACACTGCAGATGGTTCCTGGCGAAGCGCTTGCTTTCTGATTCCATGTTTTCCATTCTGATTTTTGCAATTACAAAGTGTTGAATGTCTGTATAAAGCAGTAATTTAATACTGAAGCTAGCCTAGCCCAGTTCAACAGTCATTTTACTTCTTTTTAAATATAAATCCCTGGACTAGGTGCTCAAGAGAATGCATTAACAAAACAAGACTTATCCTCTTAAGACATCTTTTATAATCAGGATATTTCTTTTTCTTATGTTTAGGTTTTGATCAGTATGCAGCTGATGTCTGGTGACCCATGTTTTAAAACGTAAGTTAAAGCTCAGTTAATGAATTATTTATCTGAAAATATAAGTGATTCATTTGCTTAAATATGTAATATTTTGTGGTGTTGGATGGCTAAAACCAGTGAAGGAATAGTTCTTTTCCTAGGCAGCTGACCCTACCCCCATAGAAGTCACTATTTCCAAGCATCCTGTCTATGGTAAATTATTTTAGCTGTGGATCTTTTGTCACCTGAAAGGTTTTGGGAGTATTACACAAACTAATTTTTTTATTTGACTCTGTGGTGGGTTTTCATTTCTTCGTGAAATACCTGTTACATGTCTTACCATGTGCTAAGCTCTATTCTAAACTCTACAAAGACAACAGTTAAAAAAAAGTAGACCAGGTCCCTGTTATCTTCGAGTTTATATTCTAAGAGAAAAACAGACAAGAAGCTAACAAGTGAGTATATAATATACAGTATATAATATACGTGAGAAATGTAGAGTAAGAGCACCATGGTGGGGAGAAGTAGTATTATGTCAAGGAAGTCTTCCTGGGTAAAAATGGTATTTGAGCAGAGACCTGAAGATGGGAAGCAAGCCACGCATATATTTGGGGAAAGAACATTTGAGGTAGAGGGAACCAGGACAAAGACCTTAAGAAAGGAGTATATTTGGCATGTTCAAGCAACTGCCAGGCAGTCAGTGTGTCTGAGCACAGTGAATGAGAAGGGGGGAGGTAGGAGATTAGATCAGATGATAAAAGAGTCTTGTAAGCCCCTTAATAGCTGAATGAGGTAAAAAGCTACTAGAGGGTTTAGAGCACCAATTATCTGATGGCCAGGTAGAGAAGAGACAATTTGTGGGAGCAGTTAAGGAGACAAGGGTAGAAATAGATGAGTTTGGTAAGCCAAGTTTTAGGGTTTGAGTAGCTAGAAGAATGGTGTTTCCATTCATTGAAATGATAAACTGTAAGATGAACAAGTTGGGAGCCTCGGCATTGGGCATGTTAAGTTTGATATCCTTACTTAACATCCAAGCCCTGCGGGTTAAGTAGGCAATTGGATACATCACTATAGAGTTCATTTGGGTGGCCCAGGCTGTAGATATAAATTTGGAAATCATGTCATCAGCAGCACATAAATACTTGTTAAAGCCATGTGATTTGAATAAATGACCTAGAGGGATTGAGTGTAAATAAAGAAAAGGATCACAAACTGAAGTGTGGGACATGTCAGCATGTTAGAGGTCGGGGAGATAGGAAAGAACCAGCCAAGTACTGATGAATGAGATAGGCGAAAGGAACCAGAGTGGGCATGGTCCTAAAATCCAAGTGAAGGATGTGTTTCCAAAAAGGAGCGCATAATCGACTGCCATACAGTACTGAAATAGGTCACAGGAGAAAAGGACTGAGAACTGACCTTGAATTTTGCAGTACACAGAGACCATTGATGACATTGACAAGCCCCATAGAAGAATGATCTTAGATTAAAGCCTTACTGGGGTATATTAAAGAGAGTTTTGAGTAAAAAAAAGAGACATGAACAGAAGCAATTCTTACAAGGAATTTTGTTGAAAAAAGGAACAGGAAAAATAGAAACACAAAGAGGATATGAGGTCAAGGGCCTGTTCTTGTTTTTTTTGTTTTTTTTTTTAAAGAATAAAGATAGTAGAGTATATTTGTACACTGAGATGGGTGGTGCAATTAGAGAGAGAGAAATGTGGTACAGAAGAGAAAAGGGACAATCGCTAGAACAGTGTGCTTGGATTGTCAAGAGAGGGAATGCAGGGAATATGGGCACAGATGCGGATATGTGAGAAGTGAAAGCATTCACGAGTTATTTTTGGTGGCTCTGAGAGGTGGAACTTGTCCCAACAATCAGTTAAAGCATGGTGGATTGCTGTGATGTTCTGGGACACATGCCTCAGCTGAGGACATTAAAAGGCATATTGGAAATAGGCGCTGAAGTGGCATCTAGATTAAAATCCTGAGAATAAAGAAGTAGAGAGAAAATCCAAACTAGTAGCTGAGGCTTATGTGGTGTTATCAGATGGGGGAGGGGGTGGGGAAGGACATCTGGGACAAATATGGTGAAGAAGGATTAAATGGTAGAGTTGGAGACGGGAGTCATTTCCACAGTCCATTTGAGTTTGGCTTTACATTCTGTAACCCAGATGATGTCTTGGAGGTGGGGGGGTGACGCATGGAAGCAAGAACAGAGCCACAGGGTCACTTTCCTGGATTTCCATCTTTTGGAGGGGGATTTTCTTCTTTTGATACAGGGTTTACTTTCTTTAGTACACTAGGTCATGGAGGCCTCACTTCATTCTCTTCCACATCATATGGTGGTAGTGGCATGAGTATCCTCAAATCTATATCAACTATTAAGGTAGTTAATCACAGAAAAACCAAAACAAAGAAAATTGTCAAGAATAGTCAAGAAAGAGTAGAAGCTGAAGAAGAGGGCCAGTTAAAGCCCTTAGCGATAAGTGGTACCGAGCAGCAGCTACACTTGGATAACAAGTAATTGAGTGCACATGTTCAACACAGCATGTGATGTCATTGGGCATGGAGGGAGCAGGCCCCTAACTGCTTTTCATTGAAAGCCAGGTAAGTCTTCCCCAAGGTTATGATACTGAGCTAGTTTAAAGGATGAATAGGAAATCACTAAGCAGAGAAGGTGGGTAGAGACACTCCAGGAAGAGAAAACAACTTACACAAGTCTATGGCATTGTTACAGGGCATGGAATAGTTACAAAATACTAACTAGGTGTTATCATTTTAGGAGGTCATTTTTCCCATATTTTTAGCTTTACTATGAAATTAAAGTAAAAAAATTCCATCTCTCTCATTCCAGTATTGAGCTACATTAAACAATTTCCAGTAAGGGTTATAAAAATAACTTTAGCACAAAAGGGGTAATAGAATAAAAACCAGAACATGATATGCACTCAGTGATTATTTATGAAACACAACTAGTTGAGACTGAGACAGGAAACTGCCAAGGCCCAGCTAAAATTATGGATTCTAAATCTCCTTAATATCAGTTCACATGAGGGATGAATTTCCTCCATATGCCTAAGTCTCCCAGTGTTCTTTTAATAATTTTTACTGAGGTAACATTTCATTATAAGTTTCAGGTGTCATCCTTATAAATCATATACTTTATGAATCTCATAAATCATATGTATACTGTATCAAATTCACCTCCCAAAGTACAATTCTATCCTTCAACATATAATTGCCCCCTCAAGCTTGATTCCCAGTTTTCCCCCCTTCCCTTCTGTTACCTACTCATTTGATCTCACAGTCTAAAAAGCTTATTTTTGTTTTATTTAGGTTATTCATTTGTTTGGTTTCTTTGTATATGACATACGATTTAACATAAGTGAAATCATACAGTGTTTGTGTCTCACTGCACTGAGCATAGTGCCTTCCAGGCCCATCCATGTTGTAGCAAATTCAGTTCTTTTCATAATAAGTGTTTCATCTTACAGACGTTTTCAGGATACGTGTATGTTATTTGTTGATTTTTATTACTTTCATCCTCAAAGAGGTAACGTACTAAGGCACCTTCCTAAGGCTAGGTACCCACTACATAGCCAGTCCTTAACAACATTTCAGACTTTCAAAATCACTCCTAAATCAAGCTCTGATTCTTAGAAATGTCTATTTACAGACCTCCTTCTACATCAATGTCTATACCAATTGCTGGTGAATCTGAATCTCTGGAAGAAGACAGAAAAGGTGGAGAGACTCTGAAAATCCATCTTGGAATAGCAGGTATGGATCTGTATCTTGCTGGTTTTGCAGTTTGTGAAAAACAGTACTACTTGATGTCCTAATACATTCCCAAAGTTCCTCCCAGATTGAAAATTCCGTAAGTCTATGACTTCAAATGAGCCAAAAGTTTCAATTACACAGTTTTTGGTCAATCCATTGCTTCACTTTGTCTGAAGGGTTATGCTCTGCCGATGAAATGCAGCAGTGACACACCCCCACCATTGTACACCTCTGCTCCCCAGACTTATCTATTCCACACACCAGCACTTTCCGCCCATTGCCTCCTCGGGTGTTACTTCTCTTCCATGGATCACTTCCCACTCTCAGTGGTTTTCCAACATTAGTGTACAACAGAATCACCTGGTGAGCTTGTTAAATTGTGGATTCCTGGCACCGCAGGCTGGTTTTCATTTGGCTTGGGCTTAAAATTACTTTGCTGAATTTCCCAGATGACACTGCTGCTGCTGGGCCCGAGCCATACCTTGAGGCCTGCTCCCCAAGCAAACTGTCAGTGGTAGTCAGAATCTGCTGCAGGAGTTCAAAGAAGGCAGGGGAAAATGCCAAGTTGACTGGAGGAAAAAGACTTCCTTTTTTCTCCCTGGTTATTGATCAGGATTATTATATGAAAGAATGAAAAGAAAGCTGAAGTCACATAACATTTTCTTTTAGATACAACTTTTTAGAGATTCAAAGAAGTTACCCCAAAATATCCTGATTTAGGGTCTATGACCCCTTTGTGTTCTGTCAACCTTCCCATTAGCTCCTCTCTCCAGTATTTCAATAGTCTGAATTCTTTCTCATTTTGAAAAGAAGTAAAAGCAAAGTAAAAGCAAAAACTCACTCGCCCTGATATCCCTCCGTCTCCTACTGCTGTGGACTCGAGCTTTTCTTCCCCTTTGCTCTTCTCACTCTTTTTATAGCCAACCTTCTAGAAAGATCGTGCTGCCTGGGTTTTCCTTAGCACTTGCACCCTGGCTTGCTCTTGATGGTGTCTCCATAAAATGATCATCAGATCCTGTGGGCATTTTTGCTTCTCTCATCTGTCTTGCCATTTATTCTTTTTTGCAGCTTTCTCTTCCCTTGGCTTCTAGCTCTGACATTTTCTCTCCTGGCTTATTTGTGGCTGCTGCTTCTTACACCTTCCTCTTAAATATTTACGTTCTACAGAGTTGGTTCCTTTTTCTCACTCTTCCTAGGCAATGTCGCCTATACCATTGGACTTAACGGTCACATAAATATAACTGTGATCATGTAAATGTGAGCTAAATACTTTCAATTAACAAGTTTGTGTTGACTCCAGAGCTCCTTCCTCAACAGCAGGTACATATTTCCAAATGCTTTCTGGAAAGGTCAGCTTTATGCTGCTTATTGTACTGAAGTTCATCTGTTTATCTTTCTCTTCAGCTGGACTGCAAGTTCTTCACAGTGGTGTTTTCTTTTTTTTTTTTTTTTTAAAGATTTATTTATTTATTCAAGCACTGGGCACAGTCAGAAGCGCGGGAGGGTGGCAGAAGGACCGAAGTACACTGCTGAGGGGAGCAGCGGGCGGCAGGAGAGGTCTGCGCGCCATGCGGGACCCTCCTCCGGTGGCCGGGGAGCAGCCGGGGATCGAACCAACGCTGCAGAGGCTGCGGGCAGCTTCTCAACCCAGCGCTCAACCGCTGCGCCACCGGGGAGGCCCACAGTGGTGTTTTCTTTGTGTTTGTATCCCCCAGCGTGAGGCCAGGGACACAGAAATTCAGTGAATGACACATCCTTGCATGTCTCACATTCCGCATCTCCCATCCAAGCCTTCCTAGTCTCCATCCTATATTTTCTGTTACCCCGACACAGTTCTGTTTATGCAATGAATTCTATCATTTGTGCCTGTTATTATGCATCTCATTCTCAGCTTGATTATTAGGGAAACCTTTACTCCTTCAACCTCTGTTCAACCTGTTGCCAAAGTGATCTTCCCAAACTGTAATGTGGTCATGTTGTGTGAAGCCACTGAGTTATTTCCTTCTTCAGACTCATTGGAAAAGTTCCTTCACTCACAGGCATCTGCTCATCTCTCTTTTCCCTTCAGTCATGTACACCACTACCCTGCATGCCATCTTTACCAAACTACTTACTTTTCTACCAACAGGAATGCTTTTTCTTATGCTTTCCCTGTCTCATCTAGCTGAGGAATTCCTGTGTTGAAACCTGGCGTTAGCCTCTGCTGTGAGGTCCTTCCCCTATTAGCACGTGGTGTTAGCTGCATTTGTCCCTTGGAGCTCTTGTTTCATTTTGGTTGGTATGTTTCCTTACTTGCCATATTGAATTAGAACTGCTTCTTCTCAGGGCCTCCCTGGTGGCGCAGTGGTTGAGCGCTGGGTTGCGAAGCTGCCCGCAGCCTCTGCAGCGCTGGTTCGATCCCCGGCTGCTCCCCGGCCACCGGAGGAGGGTCCCACATGGCGCGCAGACCTCTCCTGCCGCCCGCTGCTCCCCTCAGCAGTGTACTTCGGTCCTTCTGCCTGCTCTGCTCCCCGCTCTGGCTCTGGTGAATTCTCTCACCCTCTCGTGCTTCTGACTGTATCCAGTGCTTGTATAAATAAATAAATAAATAAATAAATCTTAAAAAAAAAAAAAAGAACTGCTTCTTCTCTAAATGCTGAGCATATAATTTTTCATACTTGTTTTTGCACCCCTTTTACCTTGTATCTTATTTTTTTTTAAGATTTATTTATTTAAGCATACAAGAATTGGAGTACAAGCCAGAGGTGTGGGGGGTGAGAGGATTCACCAGAGACAGAGTGGGGAACAGAACAGGCAGACTGACTGAAATACACGGCTGAGGGGAGCAGTGGGTGAGTCAGGAGAGGTCTCCTGCATCATTTCGGTAGCTCCCTGGCGGAGGATCAAACTCTTGCTACAGTGGCTGAGGAGAGCTTCATAGGTTGCATCTTAACCCCTTGCGCCACTAGGGAGGCCCACCCCTTGTATCTTAAACAGTATTGCACATCTGACTTGGTAAGAGCTTAATAATATTCATTGAATGAATAAATTTTGAAAACTAATAGAGAGGTGGAAGAATTAAGGTTTGAGCCAATCTTAGGAGTAAAGGTTATTCCTATGTAATTCTTGATGTGAATCAACTCTGTGAGCCCAAATTTTATTATAATTGATCTTCGGATTTAGAACCACTGTCATCCTTTTTTTGCCCTACAAACCCTTCCCTGTGCAAAGCAGCAGTGGCATTTCTTCTGCCCACCTGCGACTGTGCAAGTGCCTCTCTTTTTCTTTCTCATTTTCCTAGTAAACCCACCTTTTAAAATGTAAAAAAAAGAAAAATAGAACCATTATAAATATAATATAAAAACATATATAATAAATAAGGCATATAATAAAGCAGGACTGGAGGTGCTGGTTAAATTTGTACATTGCATCCTGCCCAGAAGTGAGAAACCTTTGCAGAAGGGACATGTCACGCCAGTAACTTACTTGCTTGGCATTATTTTTTGTCCAACTGCATTCAGTATCATTTAAGGAACTGCTGCTATAATTGCTGTATTACTCAATTGGTTTCCTTTTGCCTCTAAGTGAAAAATAGTTCTAGTTTTCGAATATTTCATGACAATGAAAAATGGTCACAGTTCTTCATTCTTTTGGAAGAAGTCTGGTTCTAGAAATACATAATGGGTATATTCTGGAGTGTGCACATTATCAGGGAACTGCTAGAAATGGCTTTGACATTGCTGCTTCTGTACTTTACTTTGAAACTGAATACTATAATCAGTTTTTAAGAACTTTTATTCTCCATGCTGCATTCCATGCTGTTGATTTAAACTGCAAACAATTGCCCAAATTATAGCCTAGCACTAGCAACACCAGTGTTAAATAACAAAATGCTCTTTAGTTTATTGTTGTGATGGAATTTTGAGAGCAAAACTTCTTCAAAAATCACATAAAAACCTGGCAGTTTTGTGAGAATTTATAGGAATACATTTGATATATTTTTATTAGAGAAATACTGAACGTAGGGGCCTCCCTGGTGGCACAAGGGGTTAAGCACCGCACTATGAAGCAATCCGCAGCCTTTGCAGCACGAGTTCGATCCCTGGCCAGGGAGCAACCCACATGGCGCAGCAGACCTCTCCTCTCTCGCCCGCTGCTCCCCTCAGCAGTGTATTTCAGTCAGTCTGCCTGTTCTGTTCCCCACTCTGTCTCTGGTGAATCCTCTCACCCCACACATCTCTGGCTTGTACCCCAGCTCTTGTATGCATAAATAAATAAATACTAAAAAAAAAATACTGAACCTAAACTCTGAAATAATTTTAAGATGGAATACTGTTAAATTTTATGGAAAATACTGTAGTTCTTCAGTAACCTATTGTATTTCTTGCAATCTAGTAGTTTACATTTTGCTGATTTAAAGGAATCTTTTTGTTCTCCAGATTAGAATACAAAGTAGCCATTCACTGTCAGCAGCAATAGTAACATCATGTTATGACTTATTGCAGATCTTTCAGCAAAGAGTGCCTCTGTTCCAGATGAACTTGGTGCCTGTGGACATTCTAGAACACCAAGCTATGCAAGCCAGCAGTCAAAAGTATCAGGTAGAGGTTAAAAGTGAAGTTGAATTCCTGAGACTTTTATTGCCCTAAATGGCCTCAAGGCTACTATTGGAGATGAATGTTTGATTGCAGTGTATTTGATCTGAGTGTTATATCCAAAGTGATTTTCTTTGACAGGTTATAGCTCATGCCACTCTCGGTCATCCAGTTTCTCTGAGTTCTGCCACAGGAGAAATACTTCAGTGGGAAGTACATCAACAGGCGTTGAAAGTATTCTAGAGCCATGTGATGAAACTGAGCAAAAAATAGCTGAACCAAATCTTGATACAGCTGATAAAGAAGATACAGCTCTGGAAACACTCAACAAGTATCTATCCTTTTGTTCTCAGTTTCAACTGAAAAAAAAAAAAAAAGAAAAGAAACAACAGCTATGTTTTCATAATGTAACAAAAAGGAGAAAATGTTTTTAATTCTTTTCAAGATGTCCTGTGAAACAAGATTCCGTAGAATCTCAGCTGAAACGAGTTGATGACACCAGGGTGGATGCAGATGATATTGTGGAGAAAATACTACAAAGTCAAGACTTCAGCCTAGATTCCAGTGCAGAAGGTTTGTAGATGGCCTTTAAATATACACAGATTTGCACAATCTAGGTTTGTGCGACCCACATGGTCAGCAGTATAAGAGGGAGGACATCATGATATTGATGGTTGCATGTTTGTAACATAAGTTTCTGGTCTTGAAGTTGGAAGATAACTTTGTTGCTCATTTATTTCTAAGAATGGATACTAATTTAATGACAGAATAAGATTTATAAGAGAACAGTTTTAAAAAAGCTTTCATTGCCTTTAACTATGCTTCCTTGTCTACCATGCTTACAGTAAGCGCTTCAAGTCACTATTGTAATTTGGAGGGTTGAGTGGTAACCTGGAAATGATAGTAAATAACAAATACTTCATTCCCTACTTAGCATTTTCACTGAAACTGAAAATTTACATGCCACCAATGTCAAAGGTGTAATTATTCATGCTGGTGTGAATAGAGAGCAGTTAACAATGGACTTGGTTTTATTATGTAGCTGGTGGTAAAGAGAAATAATTAAACCTTGTGGAAATTTAGAGGAAGAGCTATCTTTACTCAGTTTTAAGAAAATAGCTTTATGAAAGTTCATGAGAAATAGCTATTAGGTTGTCTTCTAAATTGCCTGTTTTAAAACTTGTATGTAGCTTTTTAAAAGTTTTTTCTTTCTTTAATAAAACAAATGTTAAATATGAAATTTACTACAATATGCATATTATTTGACAGTAACCTAATAATTTTGTGTATAACAAATATTTTAAAAATGCATTGCAGAAGAAGGACTGAGATTATTTGTGGGTCCTGGTGGAAGTACAACCTTTGGCAGTCATCATCTTCCAAATAGGTATGTAGTCCCCAGAGTCCCCTACTAAAATAATAGACTGAGTTTTTATGATGAGTTTTTATGATGAGTGAAAGGTAAAGGCTACAATGTTTGCATTAGACTGAGGCTCGAAAACACAAACATTAGTTCCTTGAGAAGAACTACATCTCTTAGGATAGCTCTTAGTTTTCCTCATTCTAAGTATGTTTGAAATTATATTTTGTAAGCTTATATGTTGATTTCCTTAGATATATTTTTACAGTGTATTAGATACCAGTAGAGCACTGGGCAATCTGTAATATAAAAAGGACATTTAAAAAAGAATTCTTAGCCTGTTATTTTAGAAAGAGCAAAGCAAAATTACATTTCTGTCATTGCTCTTACCTGTTATGAGCAGTTTACACAGCTACTCAGTAACACCTTTCTTGTACTCTCCACTTCACCACCCCATTAGAATCTCACATATGCATTAAGAAAAGTTCAGAAAACAAGACATCACTTTAGCAGTTATTTAAATTCAGATACAGAAAAGGCACTACCAAACTAAACCATTCTGATTGCTGGCACTGCAGCAAATGATAGTGAGCACACGCTAAGGACACAGTAGAAATTCTGATCACCCCATTGCTTCCCCACAGCCTGATCCCCACCCTTTTGTGTGCTCCCCTGACGCTCAGTGTTCCCATGTAGTATTTGTGTGGAGTTCTAGCAGAACCACAGAGTAAGACAGAACTACAGGGATATGGAGCCCCGTTGGTCCAAGATAGTTATTGTATTCATTAATGCTCAGAACCAGAAGAATTTTTAATTCATTTCTTCAACTAGTACTCAATGTCCTGTGTCTAGAACACTGCAGGGCAGTTTGTTTCTGTTCTTACTAATCTTTGAAATGTCCAGTAATAACTCCTGCAAAGGACATGGGTATTTGTGATAACTTTAGCAACAATACGCTTCCTCCATATAATATCTCCCCTCCTAGTCACTCAAGAAAAGTCACAGAAAGGGTAGAATGATCCTCATCCCAAAATAAATACATTGCCATCATTTTTGATATTGCTTATTTGTATAGACTTTCAGAAATCATTTAATATCCTCCCAAACCAAGAAATAGTAGAGGGAACATGTATGTACATTATTTTACACCACAAGGCTATGATACTGGGTGCATCAATAATAATAAAAAACTTTCTGTTAGTAAGTCTATTACTTAATTTAAGTATCACTTAAGTGCTTTATTTACAAAGATTGTAAATTTTAAGTCTTTCAGTAGTAGAGGTCAGGTAGCATATTAGGGCAAAGGCTAAACTGCTATTAAAAAAAAAAGAGACCCAAAAATACAATGATGGGGCTAAAAGGACAGTTTCACCCCCAGACGGTGATTCATTGACCCAAGTACTTCCATTTTGTCCTTCACTGTCCTCCATACCTGTGTTGTCAACGTTGGATCCAAGGCAGTCAATTTCCCTTTAAGATAGCCAGGCAGAAATTGATACATCTCCATGCATATTCCCTGGGGGAAAAATTTAGCACATGGATTCACCTATAAAGGATAAGAAGTGGGATCTCTAGGCCAGTCAGCCTGTACCCACCTTAAACTCTGAAGAAGGGAACAGTAGATTTGGGGGATCAACCAGCAGTCTGCCAAAGCAAGCTAATGAAGAAATAAACCCTTCTTCAAGATCATTGTCCCTTTAGATTTACTTACATAGATAATTTACAAGAATGGCTGCATAAATGATATTTGAATATTGGCTAAAAGAATTCTCACGCTTTCTAAGAAGGTACATTAAAACACTGGCCTACTGGGCCTCCCCAGTGCCGCAGTGTTTGAGCACTGGGTTGCGAAGCTGCCCGCAGCCTCTGCAGCACCGGTTCTATCCCCGGCTGCCAGGCGAGGGTCCTACATGGCACACAGATCTCTCCTGCTGCCCGTTGCTCCCATCAGCAGTGTACTTCGTCAGTCTGCCTGTTCTGTTCCCCGCTCTGGCTCTGGTGAATTCTCTCACCCTCCCGTGCTTCTGACTGTACCCAGTGCTTGTATGAATGAATAAAATAAATCTTTAAAAAAAAAAAAACAAACACTGGACTGCTAATGTAACTAAAAACTATTAGCTCTGAGCTGCCAGAATCAATATATGCTCTTTGATTATTTTAGTGTTTATATATAAAAATGTTTGCCTCAGTGTCTTAATAGAATTTGGAAACATTCCTGGGTTATTCTAAGGATATGTGTGAGAAGGTCAGGGACTAGATTAATCCTGTATATGAATTACAAATATTGCAAGGTCTGTCATCTACAGACCTTGCAGAAATTAATTAGTAGAAAATGCCTAATGTACTATCTCTTTGGGGACAAGGTTAACTAAACACTACAGCTCAAAATGTTGAAGGTTTTTGCCCTGCTATTTTAGGGTGGGGCCTGGAGCTTATGAACAAGTCGTGATCAAACGCTAAGACGTCCTGCTGATGCACTGAGGCTTCCCTGGGGCTTCAGCTGTGGGCAGTTGAGCTGTCAAGGCACCTTATTCAGGCACTTAGGAGAAAATGATCCTGTTTTTAAAATTGAAGTTTGTTCATCTATCAAGAAAGGCAACACCGAGTCTTCTCTGCAGCCCTCAACTGTCCTCCCATGCATCCTGGCAGTCTCGAGGGGTGTGGCACGTGCGCCAGTGGCATACAACTCCTAGGTCACTGCACAAGATCGGGAAAACCTGTTGTTCTTTCCAGACATCCTGATGAGGAAAACAGCGCTATACATCTGAATACAGCTTCATTGTCAAAATGTGATAGAGGTGCTCAACAGATTTGGGCTCTGATTATTTTATGTTCAAGAGACAATAAGTGAATATAACTAAAACCTTATAAATTCTGTAAAGATGGTTATTATTCCTATTAAGAAAATCTTCCATATTATACTATCTGCAGTATTGTACTAAGTTTATTATTAACTCTTTGATGCAATAATTGATATAAAGTGTGGTTGTTCATGCTTTGGGGAAATGTTATACTGCAATTTAAACATGTGAAATGCTTGATAATTCCGAATATATCAGTCATAAATTGAATAGCAAGTATAGTTTAAGTCTGAGCTTTGTGAATGGGTATGATGTCATTATTATGCAGTAGTATTGTCCCATGTGGTTAATATTAAGTGAACTGCAGAACTCCCACTGGCACTATATAGGAGATGCAAGTAAGTTTAATATTCAGTATGTCAGGCTACCATAAGGCACCCTAACAAAGTTCATTCTTTGAACTGAATAATATCTGCTGGTTTCAGGAATCAAAATTTAGAATAACAGGAGAAAAATTGTGATGTAACCAGGAACAGAGCAGCCTTCCCTCTGTAAGACCAGACTTACTGAAACTGAAAATTATTCCAAGGAGGAGGTGGATGAAAGACAAGGGACAGTTACTTGTCATTACCAACATGGATTCTGTGGTTTTCTATTTTAGCCTCCATGATCAGATACTGTGTTTTCTTCATTGCTATAGAGAAGTTAATTGTTTCGAGGGAAGAATACAATATAACATACATAAGGATATCTGATCTGGATCCAGTTTAACAACACGGAAGATAAATCTTAGTATTTTTTTGCTCTTACATGACAGTTATCACATGAAAAGTTGTGTTTCCTTGGATTCACTCAGTTATGAAGAAAAATTGTAAAATCTGGAATAATTCCCCGTCCTTATTTTTAAAACCATGTCCAGAAAATGTTATATGGTAGAAAAGAATTCCTTGGTTATAGTTTTTTCGTGTTATTAGCAAAATAAGGGAAGAAATATATTATTTTAAGAAAGTATTTTAGTATTCAAATTTAGAGATTAGGCAAAATTTGAATGGTTCATGTTAGGTGGTTTTTCTTTTTAATATTTCAAATATGGCTTTTCGAAATTAAGCCAATACTACTTTTACAAATAGGTTGAGATTTAAAGAGATGACTAAGTCCCATTTTAGAATATTTTGAATGTAGAGAGAGAGGGTTACCTGAGTCATCAGCTTACTTCCTGATGTTTTCAGACTGGTTTTGAACAGAAAAAAAACAAAATGACCTGAACATTTCAGTCTAACCAAGGAAAATGTTGCCCTAAATGGTAGACTTGCCCTCTATGAGTAAACAAGTGAACTTGTTTTCAATAGAGATATGAACATATTCTTCAGAGATATTTATTGTGATGTCTTAAAAACATATTTTTCTATTTTCAAGATATTGTTTCTAGACTATTTTTTATTGGCACTTATGCAAAAAAATTTTGTGGTTTTTTTTTTTTAATGATACTACTAACTAGATTGCAAGTGAGGTGGTTATGTGAAAGGTGCTGTTTTCAGGGCCCGGCCCCTGTCTTTGCTGGCTTTGCCCCAAAACCTTTACATAAGAATGGCTTTGAGTATTTAAAATGATACCAAATTATTTTTAAAAAATAAGATATGGACAGATTTTGAAAAGAATAAAAATTATGCCTTTATAATTTCAGCAATCAGCAAAACAACTTGATTTGTATAGTGATTATAACACAGTGACATTGATCAGGGAGGAAAAAGTGGAAGTCTAGATTCATTTTATTCTGCTGTGTTCTTCTAGCGTACTTTGCAGTCATATTTCACTACAATCCTTCCAAAGTACTTGTTAAAGGTGGCCTAAGTGTCTTGACTTATTTCCAGTTTTCCTTTCCTCAGAGATTGTACTGTTACTACCTTAACTGTGAGACTGTGAAAAATGCTTATTAAAAATACCAAATCCACTTTGGCTCTGTTTTAAGTTTAAAAAACTGAATTTGAAAAACTAAATGTTAACAGGTGGATTTTTAAATACTGAAGTCAAATTTCAAATCACCCTGTCTTGGAGAATTTGCAGGTATATAACTTTTTCTACTTCTGTCTTAGAGAAAATCGGTGGTATTTTAAAGTTATATATTTGTGAACTAATAAAAAAAGAGTCCTAAATAGCTTGTTTGAGGGAAATATCAGGGCCTTTGGGGAGCCCACTTCCTCTGACTTGAGCTGGTGACTGAGACCAGAAAGGATATGAAGGGTAGTAAAGACAGATGAGGCCCAAAACCATCTTTGATGGTTGACTCATGTGTGGTTTGCAGTGGTGTTGAAGGCTTTTATATACAAACAACTAATGTGCATTAGTTCTTACAATCTGAAAAAAATCCCTTGATCATGAAGTCCACCATCCCATTCCAGCAAAATACTATTAGAATGACAATATACAAACTAGATTCTTCATTCTGTGATTTGTTTTTTTTGCATGAAAACAGTGAGCCACAGAATTCCACCCACTTGTTGCTAGAAGGAAAATCTCCAGGTAGCCTCTGGTCAAAACACATTCAAATTCAGTAGAATTGAGTTTTAAGAAATTAAAACATCCAGAAATAATTTGAGATTTCCATGCAAAGTGGGTCACATTGAAAGCTCAAGTTGACTGTTATTAAGTATTCCATCCAAGTACTCTGAAGTGTTAGGCTTCAGTAAATAACGCTTCTGGTATAATAATGCTCTGAAGATACTGGGGTCATTGACAATGCTGCCTTTTATTTTAATAGTCTTTAACTGAGGCGGTTCAGAAATTATACTGGTCAGTTCTCTCAGATGGTACGTCATGTGACTACAGTCAAGCTCTATCTAGTTTAAATTGTGTTATGCCACTACTTGTATGTTGACTGATGTACTGTGCATAATTTTAATAGCTGAGATGTTAAAGAATATGAAATACTCTAAAAATATAAAGGATGAAGTATGCCTATATTAATCCTGTTTTAAGACTGCCCTGGAAATAAAGACCTTAGGATTACCTTATATATGTGATTTTTCATAAGGTAATAGATATACAATATATTTTAAATGGTAATATAGGTCATGTGACAAAGCTGGGAAAAAATCTTTAATTTACTCAGATAGCATACTCTGCCATTATAAATATGTTCATCTTATATATAAAACAAAAGTATCTTGCTGACCAAATCCCATGCAGAGAAAGACAGGATATATATTCAATTTCCTTTTGTTTTGGAGAAATACATCTTATTTGGGGGATCACCCTCCTCTTGTGTTTTTATTTGATCCTCTGGAAGTTGATATAATTGTGGATAATTATGTAAATGTTTATCAAAAAATGTTACTGAAGTGATTCCATTAGTATTCTGTTCTAATACTTGGGAATGACCTTCATATTATTTATATATTTGTTTTACCTATACAACTATAAGTGTGGGAAACATCCTTTTTTTTAACAAAAACTAATTTTTTATTATAAAGTATTTGCAATAATGTAAAAGTGAATCTTATATGTGTTCAATAAAATCATATCCTAAAATTTAGAGTGTCAGAAATCTGTCAGATTCTTGCCAGGGTAAGAAAAAAGAAGTGTAAAAGGACCAGAGTAATTCCTCGGAGGGTTCCCTTTTCTTCACTATCAGGTAGTTGAGCACATTGGAAAGCCCAGTGAAAGCCGTTTCTTTGAACTCTGAGCTTTGCCTGGACTTTGAGTAAGATAAACCTCGTCTGAATTCTCACTCCCCTCTGAACTTGTGTAATCTGTGATGGAGACTACACTAACTCTTTGAGTTGTGATGAAGAATGCACAAGCACTCGGTGGTTTTCAAATCAGAATTTGCCTCTTCTATAGCATCTACATACATCTGAATTCTTGTGAATATCTACATACATATCTGAATTCTTGTGAATTCAGATTCATTGAAGATACATATATTGAAGATGGTTGAAAGTGTCACTAATCAAGTCTAAAAGCATCACATACATAGTATTCACTGTCCCCTTACATGACTGAACACCCTTATACAGACTGTTCTTCCCTGTGACTAGAATCCTCAGAGAGGAAAAACAATGTCAGCACATTTCCCTCTGCTGAAATTCAATTTATTACTGCAATTTAAAGTTTAAAAACCATGGTTCATTATGAATTCAAACCCAGATCCCTGTCTAGATTATCGTGGCTTTCCTGGAAGGTTATATGAGTTAAAGCACCCTGCTGGCTGTCACAAATGGGATGGTGTTTGGACACTGAGGAAACCTTCAAACCTCCCCAGTACACAGGTTCATACAGGATCACCCAGGATGGTTATAACCTGTGCCGGATCACAAGAGAACCAGACAAGGTGCTGAGATCTGCCCCCTCAGGCCTCCCTGCCCGTGTCTCAGGTGTGGCGTCCACAGACCTAGCCTTCTTGTTAGGACTTAACCCCTTCCTCCCACTATTTGCCTCTCTCTTACCTTATTTTGGCCTCCTCTTCCCTGTACCTACAGATAGTATACCTATATTAATAGGTAGCAGCACATAAAATGAAATATAATCAGTCTGGCCATTAGCATAATAGGAAATCTTTAGTGGCGTTAATCCATCCCACGTTGCGCAAAATGTATTAATTTAGGAAACAGAAGAGACTTATACATTCCCTGAGTCTATTCCCATTCCCACAGAGTAAGTAAATGTCAGAGGAAACCTTCCTATATGAATTAGTTCAGACCCCATTCTTTTGCAATTACAACTCAGCAAGGATATCTCCTCAGTCATTTAAGAAAGTCACTTTGTTACCACATCTTCAAACTATTTCAGCAGAGAACTTCAAATCTCTCCAGAAAATTGGCGTGACTGAGTTTTATTAGGGGTCCTCAAAGCAAGCGCTTGACATGTGAAAAGTGTGCCACCTTCTGGTATTGAACCTGAGTGATTTTGTTCAAATCTACTTCTCCCACATGATCCTGTATATTTTCCCTCTACATGACATGGAGTTAAGACCAAAGGAAATAGACATTTTTTCAGTAATAATTTTAGAACATTTAAAATACTTGCAAGATTTTGAAATATTGCATACACTAAGGTAAAAGTGTTTTCCTTGGGCATAAGGTTAATGAATGCGTGTAAATTCCATTCCATGCAGATCTCTACTAGAAAGGACATAATGAGCCTTCCAGGACAAGGCTGGACAAAGCAGCGGGAAAACACAGAGCTTAATCAACCAAAGCCAAGGCTCCAAGGGGGTCAAGGATGAGGTGTGGAAGTAGGGAACAAAAAGCTATGATCAGAGTTTATCTTGACTAATTCCAGCTAAGGTCACAGCACACAGGATGAGAGACCTGCAGCAATGCAGGCTAAGCGTGCTTACGAGTTGACAGGAACATCAAGAACACAACAGATAAATGGTCAGAGGTCATAAACATTGACTTTCAAAAGATAGATGTATGGAGGCATGCCACTGGCTTCAAAACTAGTTGCAAAGGGTGAAATTAACATATACTATACAGGGCCTCCCCAGTAGCGCAGTGGGGTTCAAGTCCCAGCCGGCCAGGGAGCTACCCACATGGCACAACAGACCTCTCCTGTCTCACCTGCTGCTCCCCTCAGCAGTGTCTTCGGTCCATCTGCCTGTCCTGCTCCCCGCTCTTTCTCTGGTGAATCCTCTTACCCTCCTGCACCTCTGGCCTATACCCCAGCTCTTGTATAAATAAATCTTTAAAAAATACATATATATACTACACAAATGTATGACTTCCAGCTTCTACCAGCTCAGTTCTCTGCAATCCCCCTATGTGTTCCTTATCCCCTGGCATCCTCCATGAAGGTAGAGTCCACCTCACCTCAGCGGCGGGTCCCAGTCCCTGACCTCCTGTCACCAGCAGTGCACATACTCTCCACAGGAGCTGGTGTCATGGGGTAAATTTTATTTGGGATTCTTCCTTGATAATCACTGACAGACTGGAGAGCCTTAGGGACTGAGAGCAAGACTTTAAAAAGCTCAACTGCTGGGTGTGCTGTAGACAGGAAGGTTGGGAAAGAGTGAATGTGAGAAGGGTGGGAAGGCATGAGCAGGCACAGGAAGGAAGTGCCCTGGGTGCTGCCTGTGGAAGTTTGGGAGTCTGCTGGAGATGTCAAAGCAGGACAATTTCACAGTGCAGTGGTGTGGAAACTGAACAGGAAGTGCTGTGAACATTAAGCTAGGAAAGAGCAGAAGACTTTACAAGGATTTTGAAGTTGCCAAGACCATGGAAATGGAAATTGGAAACAAATCTTACTCAGGCCTCAAGGTCGGAGGAGGTTCCAACTAATCAAAGCTGGGTAATGTGCTTTTCACACCTACTCTGGGGTGATGGGTGGTGGGGGGTTGAGGTTAGAATCTTCTCTCCCAAGAAAAATCTGCAGATAAAAATCTGCCTCTACAGGACCACAATTTTCACTGGCATTTAGTGCTGTTTAATTCCTCAGAACAAAAACATTTTGAGTCTGGTGCTTGAAGCTTGTGTATTTACAAAACTGTGGCACATTTGTTTTCCTGGGAAAAGAAACAATTTCCCCCCATAAAAGGTCACTGGCTCTTGCAAAACTGCAGTCTAGTTGTAGTTAACTGAAAGATATATAAGAAACCTTTATAGCTGTCTCCAGGGAGTGAAATGGAGGGGCAGGGAGAGGAAGCAAGCTGGAGGGAAATTTAATTTCTTCCTTACATCCTTCCTTATGGGATTTTTCAGCAAGAACATGCAATACTATTAATGTTTTTGCAAAAAGCACATGTAACTGTCTATAAAATAGATGGCTAGTGATAATGATGCATTTAAAAATGTTTCATAAAAAATACCATTTATGTAAATTAGCATCAAAAAATGGACCTTTTGCCCATCAGAATTGTATGTGGAGCACTGGGCAGGGCTGCTCCCTTCAAGAGAAGCAGCAATTTTAAGAGGAAGTTCCCAACATGGTGTAGGAGGGCAGAGCAGTATGGAGAAAACATTTTAAAACTTAATTTAAGTTCCATGCAGTTCTCAATTATCTTTGACAGTATTACTTTTGCAATTTAAATTGTCCAGGTTATTATTTTAAAAATACAGGGTTGGTTTTGGCATTTTAGGGGCTTTTGGAGGGAGCTGATAGGGTACTAGTTTTTGGCATTTTGGGGGTTTTTGGAGGGAGACTAGGGGAAAGGTAGCAATCAAGATTTCAAACATCTGTAGGTGAAGTTTTAGCCTCATTTTAAGAAATGAGGTGTTTCTCATGTAGAAGCAACGCCTTCTCAAACCACATGACCTAAATTCAGTACTTAACCCTAGTTTCATAAAAGCAGCAGAACTGCTCTACCCAACATTTAAGGTATAATATATAACTAGTAGAGTTCTCCAACAAGAAAATAAAGGGAAAAAATTGTATTTAAAAAAATTATAAATAGAGCCTAGTAATAATATGCAGTGCACCTAATGGAAAAAAAATTTTTTTTCTTGTGGGACCCTCGCCGGCAAACAAACCGGCGCCGCAGAGGCTGTGGGCAGCCTCTCAGCCCTGCACTCAACCACTGCGCCACCAGGGGAGGCCCTGGAAAATGATTTTAAAAGACAATTTTCATCTCAAGCTTATAACTGATATATCCTATGTGAAAAGAGGATAAACTTTCAAGGATTTTTTTAAATTCCTTTTATAGCTCTCTTCTCAGGAAGCTCCTGGAAAATTCTTAGAAATGCAGAGCAGCATAAGAAAGGATTGGCCAGCCAGCTGATAGAAGTGCAAGGAGGATGTGGATACTGCAGGGAAGGGAGGGAGAGCAAAGTCAAGTTCAACAGCAGGGGCTGGAGATCACTCCCAACGCAGCAGATGGCCACACTCCCTACATGTAAGACCAAAAACCTGACCAGCAACTACTAACAACTCACTCTACAGAGAGAGAGAGAGTCTATAATGCAAAGTGTAGGAGGGTCACTGTTCTGCTCTAAAATAAACAATCAGGGTGAAGCAAGACGCCTGAGCTGGGCACCCCTGGGTGCTGTGATAAGCAACCTACCACATTTCTTGGACTGTAACTGGTGTCATGTTTGACCTTGAACAGTTACAATGTTAACCCACCCAGTACAAGATGAAATGTATATAGAAGCCCATAACTTCCTTGTCAGGGGCTCAGCCTTTGGCTGTAAATCCAGATGAGCCAAGTACCGATACAGTAAACCTGCTTTTTGTTAGACTTGGTGTCCTGGTTTCCTTAGGTACATAACAAGGGATTGGATCCTTCTGTCTCAGAAGGACTCTTACAGAATTGTGTTCACTTTGTAGGTCCACAATATGCATAGCTGTGAAAACTGGCTGCCTGGATGCAAGGATGATGCTTATTATCCAGAACAGATAGTGAAATTGTCTAACAACCCACCTAAAGTTAACACAGCTATTTGGGATGGAACACTGTCCTCTACATAGTGCTTACATCTCTATGATGTGGTTATTGAACCTGTTATATACACAAGTGGGCTAAAATTTCTCCTAGCAAGCCCAAATTGGGTTGCATTTAGAGCGGTTGGAATTCAAGTCTTCAATTTTTTCCCCTTTAAAAACTTCCATTTCTGTGCTGTTGAAGAGTAAGAGTAATTGGCTTTTTAGTTAGAGCAAGGGTCTGCAAATTACAGACAAACTCCAGCAGCTACCTTTTTTATTACATAGTATGTTTGTGGAATACAGCCACATACACTCGTTTATATACTATCTACAGCTGCTTTTCCACTTCAGCTCACACAGTTACCTGACCCAACAAGACCATTTGTTAACCCCTGGCCTGGAACATTAATGAACCTGTAATTGTGCAAAGCAAGGTCTGTATCAAGGTGTAAAGACAAATCGCACGTAGTATGTAGATACAGGAGCTGCAGAGCCATGAGAGAGGCTCCATCACCCACACAGCCACGAGCATTTTAAGGCTGCCAGGAGGGATTAAGCTTGAGTGAAGTTAATGGATAATTGTGGAGCAAGAGCTAGCCTTGGCTCGAAGTGTTGGCTCTAGCAGAGAGGAGCAATAAGAGAGAAGCCCTAAGGTAAAAGTTGTACAGCGGTCTAGAAAAATGAAGACAAACTGAGGGCCTTTTGAGGGGGTGAGGTGAGGGTGAGATGGGGAAGAAGTGCAAACCCCTCGACCACATGCATTGAGAAGGAGGAAAGAATCAATGTAAGTGTAACAGAGAACTGAAGCCAAAGACTGTTCACATAAGGATAAGGGGTTAGGGAATGTGGTAGACCTATCTATGAAATTTAAGGAGTTAAGGGGCCTCCCTGGTGGTGCAAGGGGTTAAGACACAGCACTATGAAGCATCCGTAGCCACTGCAGCACAAGTTCAATCCCCAGCCAGGGAGGTATCCCACATGGCACAACAGACCTCTCCTGACCCACCCGCTGCTCCCCACAGCAGTGTATTGCAGTCAATCCACCTGTTCTGTTCCCCACTATGCTTCTGGTGAATCCTCTCATACCCCCATCCCCTGCCCCGCACCTCTGGCCTATACCCCAGTTCTTGCATGCATAAATAAAAACAAATCTTTAAAAAAAAAAAATAAGGAAGACAAGAGCTGGTTAACAGTAGTGATATGAGTCACAGACTGTTCTGCTCCAGAATCCCTTTGTGCCCTCTCCCCTCACCAATCTACTGCCCATCTACTTAATTACTAACCCTTCAAAACCCAACTCAAGAATTAGACCCAGCAGCCTTTCCCAGGCACCAGCTCTGCACAGCCTGTTTCAGGTTACTCAGGATATTCCAGTTGTGGCTGGTTTTTTTTTGTGGCTGGTTGCTACTGACTGGTTGCTTCAATGTCCTTTCTCATCTGCCAGATCACCCAGGGGGCACATCACCTCCCAGAACCAAAGACTACACTTCCCAGCTTCCCTTGCCGCAAGGTGCTTCCTGACACTTCAACCTGGTCAACCAAAAACAGCATTTTTATGTCACAACTTGCAGCAAGCCTTCCCAGAGAACCAACATGCACTTTGTCCCTTTCTGTCCTTTTTCCCCTCTTTCTGCTGGTTTGGAACATGCAAGTGGTAGCTAAAGCTCAAACACCCACCTCTGTCTCTGAGGGGCTTGCCAAGCACAATGAATGGCCAGATCGACATACGGGTGGCTAGGAAGGCAGAGGCCCGTGGCTGGTCAGCTTACCTCTGAGCTCCCAGGGCTAAGAAATGTCTTCCCGGTGGTGCAGCAGGTTGAGCGCAGTGCTGTGAAGCTGTCCACAGCCTCTGCATTGCTGGTTTGATTCCTGGCCGGGTGGCCAGGGAGCTACCTATATGGCACAGTAAACCTCTCCTGTCTCACTTGCTGCACCCCTCAGCAGTGTTTTCAGTCCATCTGCCTGTTCTGCTCCCCGCTGTCTCTGGTGAGTCCTCGCGCCCTCCCGTGCCTCTGACCTATACCCCAGTTCTTGTATAAGTAAATAAATCTTTAAAAAAAGAAGTCTCATTTAGCCCACTGCTAAATCAGCAAGTTTCCATAGAAAAAGATGTTCAAAAGATATGAGTGATGTTTATGTCATGAGATTTCTTTCCATTCAAAAACACGCAGGGGCCTCCCTGCTGGTGCAGGCGGTTGAGTGCCACACTGTGAAGCTGTCCACAGCCTCTGCAGCATGGGTTCGATCCCGGCCGGCCAGCGAGAATCCCATATGGCAAAGCAGACCTCTCCTGTCTTGCCTGCTGCTCCCCTCAGCAGTGTATTTCGTCAGTCTGCCTGTTCTGCTCCCTGCTCTGTCTCTGGTGAATCCTCTCACCCTTCCACACATCTGGCCTGTACCCCAGTTCTTGTATAAAAATAAATGAATTAAAAAAGAAACATGCGGGCCTCCCCGGTGGCGCAGCGGTTGAGCGCTGGGTTGCGAAGCCACCCGCAGCCTCTGCGGTGCTGGTTCGATCCCCGGCTGCTCCCCGACCCTGGAGGAGGGTCCCACATGGCGCGCAGACCTCTCCTGCCGCCCGCTGCTCCCCTCAGCAGTGTACTTCGGTCCTTCTGCCTGCTCTGCCCCCCGCTCTGGCTCTGATGAATTCTCTCACCCTCCCGCGCTTCTGACTGTGCCCAGTGCTTGTATAAACAAAACAAACAAACAAATAATAAAATAAATAAAACATGCCTCTATTAAAAAAAAAAAAAAAGAAAGAAACATGCATTCCTGTTTTTTATGAAGTTTGAGGCTAAGTATTACAGGTCAGAATCTAGCCCAAAGGACACGAAGTCTCCTAGAAAAATGTTAAAGCTACTCCTGGCACCTAGGAAAAGGTTTTAAACACAATTTTCTTTAAACCTTTTTAATGTACTTTCAAAAATGACTGAACACAAAAACACATATAACCAAGAACATTATTAACAAACCCTTACCCCCTGCCAAAAAATATGTATAGATACTTAAAAAAAAAAAGAAAACCCAGCAACAAGGTTAGCCAAGTAAATTCAAAAGTAAGTTACTCGAATCATGACTACATGAAAAGTTTAAACTCTAAATGAGCCCAACTCTTACAAGACCCTGAATTTCAGGAAAAAAAGAAGGCTCAGTAATTATCAACCTCGTCAGTCAGATCAACCTTCACTGCAGACCCATCGCTGTTCAACCTCACTGAGTCAGCAATGAGTGTTTTCAAGGCCTCTATGTTATCACATAAGCGGTTCACCTTGGGATAAGCGAGAAGCCTCTCCAGGGGTACATAAAACTTATTTCCAACACAGAAAGGTTTGGGAGACTTCTCTATGTTGGTTTTTTCAGCCTCTGTGAAGACTGGCCCCACGAGTGCGATGCAGGTCTTTGAGTGACCGGTGGCTTTTGACTTGTGATCCAATTCCCTCTCATCCTCTGGTTTCAGACTCTGGACAAATTTACGTCTCATGCTTTGGATTTCTCGGAACACTTCATTAATCAACACGAGTTGGCGGAACCTTTTTTGCTGTAAACTTGGGTACGAGGCAGTAAAGACCTGTAGAAGAAAACACTTGGCATGTAGGAAAATTTTCAAAACCTTTAGTAACTTTCTCCACATTAAAAAATTAACTGCATGAAGTGCTGGCAAAGATGCAGAGAAAAAGGAACATTCTTATGCTGCTGGTGAGAATGTAGACTGTCTAGTCCCTATGGAAAACTGTCCAGAGGTTTTTCAAAATACTGAAAATAGGCCTACCGTACGATCCAGCAATTCCATTCCTAGGTGTCTACCCCCCAAAATGCAAAAACACTAACTCAAAGAGGAATATGTAATCCTGTGTCCTTTGCAGCCCTATTTACAATAGAAAATTATGGAAACAGCCTAAGTAAGTACCCAAGGACAAGTAAGTGAATTAAGAAAATATGGTGTATATACACAATGGAATACTATCAGCTATAAAAAAAAAAAAAGGATGAACTCTTGCCTTTGACCCAACATGGATGGCTCTGGAGGGAATATGCGAAGTGAAATAAATCAGGAGAAAGACACATACCGATGGTGTCAATTGGATGTGGAAGATAGAGAAACAAAACAAAGGGGCAGAGCAACAAACTAATAACAAACCCTATAAATCTGACTATAGAACTGAGACTTCCAGAGAAGAAAGTGGAGGGCAGAGAGCAGATTATGGGGGTGGCCCAATGGGCCACGGTAGAGGACTGTGGGTGCTTTGAGGGTAGGTGTGGTGTGAAACATACATCTGAAGGGTGTGAGCCTATACCTCTGAAAGCAATACTATTACCTTAGTAAAAAAAGAAACATGAAGAGTGAAATACTTCTAATCTTGAACTTTTTCTATGATTACATGCCAAGCAAGAAAGTAGATTAAAATAAAGGAAAAAAAAAGGAATTAAGTATATGGACATATGTCAAACCCCTACTATTAATGGTAAATGCCACAATTACAATGGGAGTCAAATGTTGGACCCATAAATATTTACTCTCTGATTTGCTTTCAAAATTCTAATAAGTCTCCCAGGTTTCCACCAATTCACACCAACCCAGCACTCCCACTTGATAATAGAGGATAATAGTGGGGGTTGGGGGGAGTCATCAGCTAAAAGGGAAATGCGTCCATTCTTCATGTCCTTAACCAAGAAGGTCTGAGAAGCGTGGAGGCTCAGTTCCCAAGGTCATTTCCTGAGCCAAGCCGTGCAGGAATCTCTGCTGGCTTTTCTCCTGCACGCTGACAATGCCAAGAGAGAGAAAAGGTGGAGAGAGGGGAGCAGGGGGCACTGGCCCAAACTGCTCAAGTATGTTCTAAGATACCAGAAGAACATTCTCTCTGTTATTCTTTGAGATGTGGCAAGAGACCAGAGGGTCTCACGGGTTGCAGTGGACAAACTCTCACAGCAATTGTGGGGTACGAAGGACTCCCCAAGAGTCAAGCTTAAAATAAGGTCATTTATACTTATATCTACATTAGGGAATCATGAAAAAACACTTCACCCTTCAGATAATGCACTTCCTCCCCTGTCCTGAGAGAGAGACCTCACAAAGGATACTCACAGCTTTGTAAATATGTTCTCTGCACTGCTCTGAAGCACAGGTTTCAGTCGCCTCTGTTCCGTTTTTCTGGAAGATCCCTATCTGGGTGCAGTAGCCCACCTCCTCAGCTCCGGCTGGTGGTTCCCCTACACCAGTAAATTCCACAGTGTAATTGTAGCGATTTGCTACATCTAAAGCCCTGAAGTCAAAGTAAGGAGAAAAATCATTTTCGTAAATTTGGAGATGATGGTAAATAAGCAATTTCCAGTGAAAACAATGTCCCTCCCCCTCCACCCCCACCGTGCCGCCCCAGTATAGGCCTCCCTGGTGGCCTAGGGATTAAGTCTCAATATGGTCTGAGTTCAATCCCTGGCCAAGGAGCTAACCCACATATGGCATAGCAGACCTCTACTGATCTATTTCAGTAGATCCACCTATTCTGCTCCCCACTCTGTCTCTGGTGTATCTTTTCACCTCTGCACCTCTGGCCTATTCCCCAGATCCTGTATGCATAAATAAATAAAAGTAAATCTTTAAAAAAAACCTCATTCTTTAAAAATAAATGAGGGCCTCCCCGGTGGTGCAGCGGTTGAGCGCTGGGTTGCGAAGCTGCCCGCAGCCTCTGCAGCGCCGGTTCGATCCCCGGCTGCTCCCCGGCCACCGGAGGAGGGTCCCACATGGCTCTCAGACCTCTCCTGCCGCCCGCTGCTCCCCTCAGCAGTGTACTTCGGTCCTTCTGCCTGCTCTGCTCCCTGCTCTGGCTGTGGTGAATTCTCTCACCCTCCCGCGCTTCTGACTGTACCCAATGCTTGTATATATAAATATTTTTTTTAAAAAAGAAAAAAGAAAAAAATAAATAAAAATAAATGAAATAAAGATGAGGTGCTGCTTGCTTAAACATTTCTTAAAGGGGAAAAATAATTTTCATAGGACTTTTAAAACTCCCATGGGATTCCAAAAACCAAACAAATATAAAGAAACATTATGAACTCACCAGGTCTGAAACTGCATCCTATTCCACTCAAATTTGTGATCAGCATCTCTTAGAGTCACTGCAGGAAAAAGGGGGTTGAATTCAGAGTTTGGAGTGCTGATAACAACCATAGATGGAGATAAGTATCCAAATACAACTTTAGGAAACCTGGTCAGGTCTTCTGAATCCAAATGTTCTATCCTGAAATGGTGAATGGGAGAGACATAGTAAACTCTAGCTTCACTTGCAAGTATTTTCCTAATTGATTAGCAAAACCATTTCTATCTCTATTTGATTTACCCCTCCTTTCAACATACAATAGTACATGAGTAACCTGAAATAATTATTCCTATATTTTCACTCTCCCCTTTGCCCACAGTGCCCCCTTATCCAACTACTTTGGTCTTCGCTGTGTTCCCTGGACTTATAATAAAGAATAATAAAATAAATAAAGACATGAATAAGGAGGAAGAAATATTATGACAAAGAACAGAGAGTAAGGTTCTGTGGCAGGAAATCCACTTTAAATCAAATGACCTAGATGATAATCTCGGGAAGTGGGAAGCAGTATAAAGTAGAATGCTGTTTTAAAAAAAAAAAAATTCAACCTACATTGAATTTGAAGTTTTGAAACACTAAATAGAGGAGAAACAAGACAGCAAGTTTTGAGAAGTTAAATTCAACTGAAGAGAAAAAAAAAAAAGAGTATCATGCCTGTTACCGAACAGTATTTAGCAAAAGTTACTAAATTATACTATTTCCTGTATTATCCAAGATAGAAACATTGAGAATACAGGAATGGGAGAAAATATTCACAAATCATATCTCAGGAGGGGTTAATATCCAGAATATATAAAGAACTGCTGACAATTCAACAACACTAAACAACCTGATTAAAAAATGGGCAACAGATTTGTCAATTTCTGTAAAGAAATATAAATGGCCATTAGGTATATGAAAAAGATGGCCACCTAATCATTAGGGAAAAGCAAATCAAAACCACAATGAGGGAAGGGGGCACTGGTTATTGAATACCCCTTAAGACATATGCACTTAATTTATTATGGGTAAAGTGTCATTATGGGGAAAACCTACCCTTACATGGTTCAGAAAAGAAAACTGTGTGTGTGGAGGGGGGAAAGGAAGAGGGACCACAGGTGTGAAAATGAGGGAAATGTTCACAATACATGAATCTGGATAAAGGGTATATGGGTATCTCTAGTACCATTTATTCTTTTTGCAACTTATCTGTAAATCTGAAATCACTTCCACACAAAAGGCTGAAAAAAGCCCAGCAAAAAGCCAGTCCAAACCGACTAGCAATTTTCTTTACAAATAAAAATTAACATTATAACTTAAATATCTATTTAGGGCACTAAATTATCCAGACTAATTAGATTTTTCAATTGAATTTATACAGTCAGAATTAGTTTTATACTTACAATTCAATACATGTTATCAAATCAAATCCCAGCAAACGAGAATCTCTCTCCACAGCAGAACCATGATACAAGGTTATAGTCAAATTCAGATCCCGGGGACTTAGGAAATCACCCATAAATGGAGACAATTTACTCCTGGCAAAAGCGTTATTGAAGAGTAAGGAACATTTGAACACAACAATCTATTTATAGAACTCTGCGGTTCTGATAATTATCTTCTACCCATACTGAGAAGTCTGACATGGTCTATTTCCCATGATGTGTTAAAAGCACCACGTCTTACAGTAACTTCCCCTCTGGGAAGAACAGGCCAATAACAAGAAAATTTTGAATATTTGACATTGCTCTTATTGTTAATACTTTAGGCTTCCCAGTTCACTTTGGATCAGTGATTTTCAATTCTTTGCTATTGCGAAGATATTCTTGAAACAATATGTGGAAGTCAGATAATTAATTGATAGGTAGGTAGGTAGGTAGGTAGTCAGAGAGAGAGACCAACAAATAGATAGGCAGGCAGGCAGATAGGCAGGCGAAGATTGAAGAGCTGCTTTTGTTTAAATTTGAAAACGGAGCTCTGGGGTCTTCACCCAGTACTCAGGACAATTTAAGTCCTCTACTGTAAATTATTAGGGTGTCCGGCATTAAAATGATTAAACCTTGCCATTTGAGATGGAATTTGCAATGCTTTGACTATAATAAGCATTTAATTGAGGTTATACTTTCTGCATTGGCAGAATAAAATGCAGGCATTATTCACAATGTACACAGCCAATTTTAGTGATATAACAGTCGCCTGGTGAGGTAGAGACTCTAAGAGTGCCAGTTTTTTAAAACAAGTTGTATTACACAATACTCCCTCTAAGTATACTGAACAGTGTCCCTAGTTTTAGATTAACACACAGTTCTTTCAGTAAGTAGGTATTACCCTTTCCATTGTAATTTATCTTCATCAATATCTACTCCAACAAGCAGTTCAATGCAACTGTGGAATTTTAACATCCATATGAGTGACGTATCACCACACCCCAAGTCTGCAACCTGTAGACAAGTCAGAATGTTATTTTATAGACACTGAGAGTCAGAAAAGTTAAATATGATTTTTAAAAAAATTTTTTGAGATGGCATCACTATCAGGAAAAAACCATTATATGGAAGGATCTTTTGATAGAAAAAAGTACACAAAAAAGAAATTAATCTGAGATAGGATAAACATGGGAGGCAAAAATAAGTCCTATTAATTTCCCATGACCTACCAAAAGAGTATTTACAATTCCACTGATGTGGAAAATGTCTAAAGTTATGTTGAAACAAAGACTATAGACTTTAAAGTTTCAGGGAATAAGTGATAAAGGGTCTCAAGGCCACAAGCCTGACTCATACATCCCAGATAACCGGTTAGAAGTCTCCTGCCTCTGTATCCCAGCTGGTTTTAATTGATAATGTACCCCTTCTTTAGGCAATAAACATCCTGTTGCCTAATTGCTTGGGGCTCAGGCTTTGGAGAAGGATCTCCTCTGAGCCCACCAGCATTAATAAAGAACTTCCCTCTTCCTCTCTGAGTGCTGCTTGGTTTCCTGGCAGAATTTCTGCTGTAACATTATAAGAAACTCCTCTTATTCAGGTGGGAATCATGTAGCTGAGGGGCCTGGCCCGGCACACTGCTACACAGAAAGCAGGTATCCCAGGAGAGGAAACTGTGTCCCTCTGAGCAACTTCATGAATTTTAGACCAATAAGGGTATCTACCCGTTATCAGAACAGAAGGCTGACCTTGACCAGTCCTTCACAATTCATACACACAAGTCTGTTAATCTAATACCCTTAATCTATCTTCATATGCATTCTTATACATTTTTTATTAAATCTGGTTTTCCAAATCATACAATAAAGCCATCACTAACCATAGAGGAATTATCTAAATTCTGAACTCCATTATGGGAGAAAAAGACAAATGAAAATAAAACAAACATATGAAAGTATCCACATATAAAGAGATATCACCAATCAGCTTCAAGGATAGTTGCCTCTAATCTTAAGCAGAAATCTGGAGTTATAAACTATTTCAGGATACTAGGTAAGAAACATTCCATGTATAGTCTTGAAATGCACAAATACAGAGGTTTTCAAAGGGTTAAAACTAAAACAGAATGAGGTTTAGCTCAAAATTAATTTCAACCCCACTGTAGTGCCAGGAAGAGCACAGAGCTGCTATCTTTATGATCCAAGCAGACCGGCAAAGGACAGTCCTGAAGCCCTCGGTGGCTTTCTCAGCTGTTTATTGAGGTTTTACATGCAGTGTGGCAACCAGGTACACAGCAGGCAGAGGGTGGGGGCAGGGGGTAGGAGGCCATTAGGCCTCCCTAGCCCAGGCAATCTTCACTCTTTATTGGGCTCTGTGGGGTTCTCTTGCCTGCCTCTGCTTCTCTTGGCAAATATATCAATACTGCAGCCATGGCCCACAGAAGTAAACAATACAATTGAATATAACAATGTAACAGAACACAGGAGCTCACTATCAGGTGTGCAATCCTAATTAATGGTGGGAGGGCAGAAAAGCCTGAAAATCATTTACCCTACACCCACTTTGTAAAATCAAGATCATGACTTCTGCAGCATTTGCCAGCTATTTTCCAGGAAATACTGCTAATCCCCCTGTGGAAAATTCATACTCCATCTTAGTAATAAAGGTACATTCAATCATATTTAACCTAATTTCTCCTCAAATGTGTTTAACCACAGAACCTGTTCCTTGAACATACTAGGTAGCCTTGCAATGGATCTAAAAGTTCTACCCTTGGTCACATTCATTAATATTGGTTTTTGAGGCAAGGATATTCACGGACTCTGGAGAAGGGGAACAGACAATTAGAAAATAAAAGTTAGTTTCAGAAAGAAAATGATAACCTTAGGGGGCATCAAACAGCACTACTTTTTATGTAGTACATCCAATTTTCCTCCAAGTAGGAACTGAGCTGAAACTATACTAGTAACAATCTATGAACCACATCAATAACTGCAAATAACCTAGCAAAAAAAGAGAAGTTTGTCAATTTTAACTATAGAACACATTAGAGAAAATTAAACTAACAATCATTTTCCTTAAGAAGTCTATCATTCTGGGCCTCCCTGGTGGTGCAGCAGTTGAGCGCTGGGTTGCGAAGCTGTCCGCAGCCTCTGCAGTGCCAGTTCGATCCCTGGTCGCTGGGTGAGGGTCCCACATGGCGCGCAGACCTCTCCTGCCGCCCGCTGCTCCCCTCAGCAGTGTACTTCGTCAGTGCCTGCTCTGCTCCCTGCTCTGGCTCTGGTGAATTCTCTCACCCTCCTGCACTTCTGACTGTACCCAGTGCTTATATAAATAAATAAATTTAAAAAAAAAAAGAAGTCTATCATTTTTCACCCTATAACCTTCTCTGGCGAATTCAGATGTCCACTGGACTAGCCTTTGAAGCACAGTGGCCCTAGGAAATGCACTCAGCACTGATACAGAAAGGGGGTATTACAGACAGAATTCAGTGGGGACACAGCATAGCCAAGACTGATCATGAAGCTTTGTTACAAAGCAAGAGAGGATGCCAAGGACTCCACACCTCGCCCCAATCACCCCAGGCTCACCCACACCAGCAGCTGAGTAGCAAAGCCTTCTAGAGCAAGGTGATCTTAGAGTAACTAGAGGGATTACACAGCGTACAAGACCTTAGAGATTCTAATAGTCCCTGCCTATTTACTATGTCCTTAAGAATTAGTATTTGATGAAATATTTCATCAGTCTCAATAATTATTCAGAAAAAGAAATACATACCTTCTTGGGTTTATGTTGATTCACCAAATTTTTAACAAAGTAGTAACGCTGTCTGTATAATGGAGGTTTAAACTCAATTACCTTCTTTCTGGGAACTTCTTCAAAATTATCATGTATCACACTATTGCCCTGAAAGTTTACAAACAACAACAAAAAAATAACTTCAGGAGTTAATAAGGGAAAAAAGAGCTTTCCTCCCCCACCCCCTTGTAGAACATGTTGGCCATTCCAACCCATTTGTGACCTAAAATCATTAGATAGCACTGCATTTCTTCCACAGTTCATCCAAGCCTCCTCTCACTCCTTTTAATTAAGAATCTGGCTTTATACTTCCTATAGCTTAGAGTCAGTTGAAAAGAAAATTAGTTATGTATATGTTTAATAAAGTAGTTGCAAGTCTACTACCCACAAGCCAAAGGCTGTAGTGCAGGTGAGAAGAAGGCTGGAAACTGCTAATAGCCAACAATCCCCTTGATCAAAATGCAGTTAGGTCCTCTTCTCTCTAGGCCTCTACCTGGACTTCACCCTGTCTTTCCATAGCTCGGTTTAGTAAGAATTCTGCTAATTCACTTTGGACAGCATTCACTACTTTCAACATCAGATCAAACTATAGCTGATGCAATTCTTTATCCCCCATCCTTGATATCTTATCCCCCTGGCCTGTCTTCAGCAAGGATTCCCCAAACCCTTGATGTCTCCTCTTAATACTTTTCATCCACTGACCGATCACTCTGCATATAGGCTACAAATTCCCGGCTGACCTTGCTGTGTTTGGAGTGAAGCCTAATCTCTCTCCCCTGCTGCAAAGCTCTGATTGCAATAGTCCTAAACAAAGGCTTCTTTTTTAAAATAAAGGCCTTTTTACAAGTGTTAGAATTCATTTTTCATATGATTCCACTAGAAAGAAAGAAATTATGGTGATGGGTGTTGTGTTTTAACAACACCTAAGGGGGTTATCCTATAGCTTCAAATCATATATAATGTTGTAAATCGATCTTACTTCAATAAAAAAAAAACTAAAAATGGAATTATATGATTAATCCATAACTATTTACTGCTGTTCCTAAATACCAGTAATAAAGAAATAGAGTCCAAAAGGCATTTTAAGTACCCAGAGTAATGTCCAACAGAAACAAAATATATATGCAATTTGGGCCTCCCTGGTGGCACAAGGGGTTAAGTCTCAGTACTATCTATAGAGCTACAGGCAGCCACTGCAGATCTCCAACCAGGGAGCTGACCCACATGGTCAGCAAACCTCTGTCTCACCTGCTGCTCCCCTCAGCAGTGTCTTTCAGATCTGCCTGTTCTGCTCCCCATTCTGTCTCTGGTGAATCACCTCACCCCCCGCACCTCTGGTCTACACCTCAGTTCTTGTATGCATCAATAAATAAAATTGTTAATACACATATATTCAATTCATATATTCAATGTGTTCAAAATGTTTTAAGATATAATTGTAATATTTTACTGAACCCAACATATCTGTATCATTTCAACATGAAAAAGATTCTTATTTTTCATATATCTTCAAAATCCAGTGTATATTTCACACTTAGGCATCAATGTCCAATCAGAACCACCTGATCTGTACTTGGATTTCAAAAGATTTACATAAACCATTAGATTCACATACCCAAGTTATTCCAAACACTCTTAAAACTTCCCCAATAATGAAATTGAGTGCTTAGTTTTTTAATTTAAAAGTTCAGTTCCTCACTGGCATGTTTCAAGTCCTCCATAGCCATGTGTAGTAACTGACTAACCACTGGACAGTACAGATCTAAGCCTAAATACTGTAAATGTGGTTCCCAAATCAATGGCAACTTCCTCAGGATATTTCTTAGAAATGCAGAGTCCTGGGCTTCCCCCTACACCTCCTCAAGCAGAATCTGCAGGAAAAATCCCCACGTGATCCAAAAAGCACATTAACAGTAAAAAAATACATTAGGGTGTTTTAAAGTAGATTTTGTTATTTAAAATATCAACTGATGATAAAAACACTTAGTTCACTTTACACCAAAAGTGGAATTTCACCTATGTAGATGCCTGTTTAACTCAACCAACACCCAACCCCACCCCCCACCCCCAGAAATGCCAGGAGCTAACTGTGAGGGCTTTTGCTTGTAAGTACCTCCCAGTATATTGTAGAGATAACACTTGGGAGCCACAGGAGCAGTTAAGAAGGGCAGTATTACCTCTAAATTGTTTTCTTCCATCTTGTTTCCAGGTTTTGTTGAAACACAAACACAGACGTAACCTTCAAGCTGTATGAATCAGCAATGACTCGGCTGTACACAATATTTCAGTTTTTACAAAGCGCAAACCTGAAAGAAATAACTGCTTAAATCAACAGGAGGGGTAGCGCAGGTTCCCTCCCTTGTCTTTATGTGCTAGCATTTAATCCACAGAACTTATTCCATAAGTACGGTTTCAGACAATAGCCAAAAAATAAGCACTGTTTCAGACAGTAGCAAAGAGGCTCGCAGAGCCTTAATAATTTTTCTCTCTAAGCCAAACCCAACTGAAAGTAGTAACCTGCATTCTTTCCTTGTACTTACTAGTTTAATTGGATACAAATTGAACCCCCCTGTGGGTTCAGACTCTCACTAAGGCTCTCACGCTCGCTCAGATGGCTTTCCAGTACCCCTTCATCCGTGGGGCAAAATGAAATGTCCAGGGAAAAGAACTGATAAAGTAAAATTCACTTAGCCATTTAAATTTAAACCTTGGTTTTTCTATTGCACGCCTGATTCAAATAAAATTCAGTCTACAGCCCAAATGCCCCAAAATAGATGACTGGATCAAGAAGATGTGGTCCATATACACCATGGAATATTACTCAGCATTCAAAAAAGATAAACACATGCAATTTGCAGCAACATGGATGGCGCTGGAAGGGATCATGCTCAGTGAAATAAGCCAGAAAGAAAAAGAAAAATACCGGATGGTCTCACTCATAGCAGGAATCTAGAAAACCTAAATAAGGGACCAGGAAAAAGAATAAGTATAAGAAAGTGAAAATCAAAATCAACAAAAAACTATGAACCAGAGACACTTTTGGGGGGTGGGGGGGCGGGAGGGGAGGGATTGGGGTCAGAATGGGGGGGTTGCAATTGTATGGGGAATATAAAAATAAAATTTATTAAAAAAAAAATTCAGTCTACAACGTGGGCAGGAGACTTTTGAGTTGTCCTCTTAACTCGGAATCCGCACTCTTCGTGGGAGCTAAGGTTACGGCCTCCATAGAACATGGGCCGCCCCACCTGTTACCTGCGCGTCCCAGGCACGTCCAGGTGGAGCAGCAGAGGCGCAAGCCTAGCGGGTCGCGCAGAGCCGCCGCCGCACGCACCTGCGGGCCCGCCCCCGACGCCCGCGCACGCGACGTTACCCGCCGGCGGCCACACCTGCGCCGCGCACCTGCGCCGCGGGCCCTCCCGATGCGGCCGCGGGGTCCCCTCGCCGTGCCAGGCGCGCCGGGCGCGCAGCCCCATTGCGCCAGGCTCCTGGCCCCTGGGCGTCGGTTTTGCTTCTCCCAACGGCCGCGGTGGCGCATGCCCCGGAGCCATTGCCCGGGTCTCCATCCGAACCCAGTTGGCGACCCCTGGGCTCCACATTCCCCACCCGCGCGCGCCCGCAGCGCGCCAGCGGGCCTCGAGCTGGGCGACTGCTCGGCGGCTGTTGGGTTCGGGGTTCTCCCCGTGCGCAACAAAGAGCTGCAAACGGTCCCGGCGTGGGGGAGGCGGCGGGAGGAGCCACCCGGTGGCGCGCGAGCCGGGGGCGGCCAGTGTCCAAGTCAGCGAGTCCCAGATTCATCCCCAAGGTTGGGGGGACTCGAGGCTGCGTAAAGTTGGTCTGGTAGCATCTGAACTCTGGGGGAGGTGGGGGGGGACCTTTTATGAAAGAAGGGATCAGGGGAAAAAATAATAAATAAAATTAACAGGCAACTCTAATATTCTGCAGGGAAGGGGGCGAGAAAGGGATCGAAAGGGGAGCGAGGAACAGGGGGACCATGGTGATGGTGCTCGGGTATGGTGGTGGGAATTTCAGGGGGACTACACGTGAGAAGAGAAGGCAAACATTGTACAAAATGAGCAACGATGTAAACGATGTAGGTAGGGTAATTGGTTTTCAGGCTTTTCTGCCCTCCCACCGTAAGGATTGCCCTGCCTGATGGGGCACCTGCTGTTGTTACTGCAGTTGTAGGACTAAAGGAAGGAGGAAAAAAAAGTTATTGTTTAATGAGTATAGAGCTTCATTTTGAGATGGAAAAGTTCCCCAGGTAGAAGGTGGTGATGGCTGTGCAGCAGTGTGGATGTTACATTATTGTGTTGTTTACTTCCGTGAGCAGTGGGAGGCGTATTGAGGTAGTCACCGAGAGTAGCAGAAGCAGAAAAGGCAGGACAGAGAAGGGGAGAAAGAAAGCCAGAGAAGGCCAGGGTGAAGACATGCCAGGGACTTGCAGGCCTACCTGCCTCCTGGCCCCTTGGCACCCCTGCCTGCCGTGTACCTGGTTGCTGCAATGCATGTAAAGCTCAATAAAAGTTTGAGAAAGCCACCGAGGTCTCCAGGACTCCTTTACCCGTCTGCCAGATTATAGAAAACCTGCTCAGTGGCCCATCCTGCCACTACAATATAAATAAATTTTAAAAAAGAAAACCTTTGAGCTCCCGAATTCCGAGTGGGTTATTTCTGCCAGCTGACTATGCAACAGTCAGCTCTCTTAGGAAAGTTAACTGTGTCATGCCCTTCCTTCCCTGCAAAAACTCAACTTGGTACTTCATAAATAAGTTCTTTCTAGTGTGTAGTGGACCAGCATAAGGAGGGGCAGGGGAGACCAGAAACTGCAGCCTTTAGGGAAGACAAGATTGCACTCTTATTTTTTTAACGATTTTATTTATTTATGCATACAAGAGCTGGGGTACAGGCCAGAAATGGGGGGGCGGGGGGTGAGAGGGTTCACCAGAGATAGAGTGGGGAACAGAACAGGCAGACTGACTGAAATACACTGCTGAGGTGGGCAGCCAGCAAGGCAGAATAAGTCTGCTGCCATGTGAGTAGCTCCCTGGCTGGGGATTGAACTCCTGCTGCAGAGGCTGCAGATTCCCTCACAGTGTGGTGCTTAACCCCTTGTGCCACCAGGGAGACCCTTCACTCTTATTTTGAAAGACTAAAGGAAGGGCTAATGAATGAGTGGCCATTAATATGTTGTAAATAATATATCAGAACTGTATTTTCAAGTACCCCCTTTTATATGCAAAGCATAGTGCTAACAGCTTTGGGATATCACAAAGTTAGATTTTTGGCATTGTGGAGTGTAGTCTCAGAAAAAATTTTGTAACTCATTGTAGGAGAAGGAAGGCCACTGAGCAGGTTTTCTGATCCAGCAGACGGATAAAGAAGGAGTCCTGGAGCCCTCAGTGGCTTTCTCAGGCTTTTATTGAGCTTTACATGCATTGCAGCAACCAGGTACATGGCAGGCAGGAATGCCAGGGGGCCAGGAGGCCCATAGGCCTCCAAGCCCCTGGCAAGTCTTCACTCTATTATCTATTTTTTAAGTACTTCTAGGGTATGGCTAGGTTGATCTGTAAGGACCAGTGATTCTTTACAATGGAGATTTTCCTCAGTCTCCACATCCCCACCTCTGGTCTGTGCCTGCAGATACTTTTCTGTATCATCTGATGTTAGCTAGAGCAGTTGGTGCCTAAGGATTTTTCATTTCTATAGCTATGATGTTAGTCATCTCTACCTCCACCCCCAGTTCTGGTCTTGTGATGCCTTTTCCCCAAATTTTCTACTCTTAGCCTCCAATACTTAATACCACTGAACTGTATGTTTGGAAATGGTTTATGTTATTCATTTTTTCCCAGAATTTTTAAAAAATTAAAGAAAAAAATTTAAGTTAATACATGATTGATTCATGATTCTCAGATCTAGAGTTTTTTCTTTACCTGCTAGTTGACTTGGTTATAAACTTGAATTCTCATATCCAATTTCCTCTCCATATTTGCCTATTACATCTTCTCTTGGTCTCCCACTTTCTCAGAGCCTAAAAATCATCCTTGACTCACTCATTTCCACCCTTTCCACATTTGGACAATCACCAAATCTTCACCTCTTCAAGCTGTCACTGCATCTGTTCCTTCCACCAGCCAATACCTTAATTTAACCTTTGTCATCTCATTTACTCAGCATACTGAATCTTACTTCCTCTGCTAGATTGTAAATTCCACTGAGATAAAGACCATGCTATTTATTTTCAGAATGGATTTTAGTCAGAAAGGCCTAAATTCTGATCTGACTATTTATTACTCTCTAATCTTTAGCAATTTACTTACCCCCTTGTCCGTTTCAATTGTTTGTTTGTTTTCAGTTGAAAAGTGAGAATTAAATGAGATTGCCCATCCAGCTAGTATGGGCCAAGTACTGGTCTGAGTAAAAAAGGCAGATTAAGTTCTTTCTTTCTCTTACTGCTCCTGTAGTCCAGCAAGTGTTGGTGTTGGTCACACAATGAGTCACCAAAAGTTATCCTGGATGCCAACTTGAACCTGGATGCTCAAAACATGAGGAAATACTTAGGGGACTTGGGGAGATGATGAGTGACTATATCATGCATGTGAAAGGCATGTAAACTGTGTGGTCAGAAAAAAGAGTGTGGCAGATTGAGATGCACACTCCCCTTACCACTCCTCTTGAGATGTGGGGTCTATTTCTTCTGGATCTGGAGGAACTTGGTGACTTCACCCAAGCATAGCATCTTGCCAGATTGGGGCCCAGTGTTAAGAAACTGGCAGCTTCTTAGAACACCCACTCTTGGAATCCAGATGACTTGCTGTGAGAAAGACCAAACAGCCCCATGGAGAGGCCCATGTGCAGAGAAAATAAATATTCCCTCTTCCTATCCCTGGCTGACAGCTTAGACTTATCTTGTTAACCAGGAGAGTGAATCATTTCGGGAGTGACTCCTCCTGACCCGGTTGAGCCACTTAGGCTAACTGCCTGAGGCTGCAGGAGTAGCTTTGCTTGCACAGACAATGAAGGCAGTGGCTGTATGGATGGGTCAAAGTAGCTCCTATGCCTCAAGTTGGAATAACAATGGAGTGTAATGCTCTATCAAGCTAAAGCTATTCACAGGATTTTGTTGTTCCCTTTTTTCTGTTCTGTCTTCCCTCTCCTATATCAACTTCTCCCGGGGAAATTACTTACACACAAATCTTCATATCTCAGGGTCTGGTTCTGGGAACCCGATATGATACAACCACGCTGACTGCTGGTGGAGAATGAATATGAGTGCAGCAAGAGGGGAAGCGAGGTGAGCACTTAGAAGTCCATTTCAGGGCTTCCCTGCTGGTGCAGGGATTAAGCACTGCACTATGAAGCAATCTGGAGCCTCTGCAGCACCAGTTCGATCCCTGGCCGGCCAGAGGGCAACCCACATGGTGCAGCAGACCTCTCCTGTCTCACCCACTGCTCCCCTCAGCAGTGTACTTCGGTCAATCTTCCTGTTCTGTTCCCCACTCTGTCTCTGGTGAGTCCTCTCACCCCCCGCATCTCTGGCCTGTACCCCAGCTCTTGTATGCATAAACAAATAAATCTTTTTAAAAAAAACTATCAAAAAAAAAAAAAAGAAGTTCACTTCAGTGAGTCAGGAGAAGGATGATAGTGTTTCAGACTATGAGATGACAGTGAAGAAGGATGATATAGATGGAGGCCAAAGATACCTTGAAGCTAAAACTCAGGGGACTTCAAAATAGGGTGGTTAGGGCCTCCCTGGTGGTATAGGGGTTAAGTCTCAGTGCTATCACCGCTAAGTTCTGTGTTCAATCCCAAGCCAGGGAGCTAACCCACATGGTGCAGCAGACCTCACCTGTCTCTCGCACTACTCCCCTTGGCAGTGTCTTCGGTCAGTTTACTTGTTCTGCTCCCCACTCTGTCTCTGGTGAATCCTCTCACCCCCCTCACCTCTGGCCTATACCCAAGTTCTTGTATGCATAAATAAATAAAAATAAAATCTTTGAAAAAAATAGGCTGGTTGGTTGTAAGGGGTGAAAAGAAACAGTTGAGTATATTTCCCAGATTTTTGGTATGATCAACTGGGAGGATGAAGTTACCATCACTTCGTGGGAAAGACCATGGCGATTAGAAAGTATTGAAAACAATCTGAGATATGTCAAGCTGAGATGGCCAAGTACAGGTAAAAAAAGATAAATGGGTAAAAGGGCAAGATTACATCTCAATTGCTTTTTAACTACTTGAAATAAAAATTTGATGAGTGCCTGCTACAATTCTAAGTTTTGAGTCATCAATTTTTCCAGCAAACCATTAATCTCATGCACATTTCTGAAAT